TTTGTTTGCTTTCAAACCAGTAAAAACGAGCTTCTGTTCCAGTCAGCTGCAAATAAGAGATGAATAAATAATATAATTATTGTCACACTACACTACCAGATTCTAGAAACATACTGATGTGTTAAATAGCTTTAAAAAACTCCCTACAGGTTCAACTTCTGTTGGGCTGCAGCGCTAAAAATAATCCAAATTTAGGTTCATTGCAATTGAAGATTGTGTTACAATTGAATTCTTCCTCCACATACTGTATTTCCTGGTTTCTAATGTTTGTTTTGTTGACATAAAAAAGTATCATGTTGCAATAATGATTCACTGGCTTTAAAGGTCTTGTTCAGGTGATGGAGAAAAATTGCAAATAAAAAAATGGAGAAGCAGTTCCTCTTGTGGGCTGCCACAGAAAGCATAAAATCTGTGTGGTAAACTGTGCTCATCACCTACACAGCATGCAGAGCACTTTGTTGCCCACGAGGAAAAACATTTCTGTGCCTCCTCCTTAGCGCCGACATCTGAAAAAAGTAGAAACAAAAGTCACCTACTGTACACTTTAAACCGGACGACCCCCTCCCCCCACTATGTTACTTTGTCACACTATTCTCTTAGTTGATAAAAGTAATAATAAAGAGAGAGATTTTTTTTTTTTTTTGCTTTTTTTTTTCAAATTTTTCATTTTTCATTTTTTTTTTTTAGTATTTTTTCTAAAACAGTTGGATCTGAGTTGAATGGGAGCTCTGTGGTGAAAACTCAAAATCATTACCTTTGTTTCCTTTAGCTAAGGTGCTACTTTGGTATTGATAAGATGTCAATAAATATGTATGCTTAGATGTCTGAATTTGTAAGTCAACCAATGTACATATATTTCATTCAATTTCTTTACTTGAAATTTGATATTTAATCTGTTAAAATAACGTTTAGAAGTCACAGCTTTTCAAAACTAAAGGTAAATATCACAAATTTAAATGCACAAATCACAGATCAATTAGTAAGACTGAGCAATTAACAGGTCCGGATCACAAATATATGATTTCGAATCCCTAATTTATGAGTACTAATCTGAAACTTCTGATGAAGCTGTTACCAGTCTGTGACAGCGACGCACCTAAGATATCTTTGCAGGCCAGCAATAGAAGACACGAAGAGAACGAAGAGGAAAACAAAACCATAGATCAAACATCAAATTTTTTTTTTTTTTTTTTTTTCAACACATACGCAGTATAAGTTCTGTTTTTGTCTTTTACTTCTTGTTAAATGCAGACTCTTAAACAACTTTTTAGGTGCAGTACTTCCACCAATTGATAAGGAACATAGTTTTTGTAGGATTTGTAGATTCATACTCATAATTTCTTTGATTCATGCTCGTAAATTTGTGATTTTACTCATATTTGGATCAAAGTGGTAACTTCTGAACATGTATCCTCACAAATAAAACATTCGCTTTGAAATGTATGCAGGAGCCGAAAACAGGAAACTATTACAAATCTAGACATTTGTCCACATTTATTGACTCGCATTTACAAATTTAGACATCTTTTTCAGACATATATTTAATGAAGAGTTATCTTACCTAACTCTCTGCTATCATCCTTGCCATTATCCAATTAAAAGATCCCCTCGTGTCCAAGCTTTAACCTCGTAGCGGATGTTAATATTTCCAAATGAAGGGCTCTTCTCAATGATGGCATCTTTATTTTAACACAAACTTATCCCTCATGTAAGTGTTTTGTTTTAATACAATGCACCATTCTAACATATTTGTTATGAGTGAATGCATTATTGTTCAGGTGTTGTGGACATTATAACTTCCACATGGACCCCAAACTCTTAAACAGGATTTTAGTTACTGGAAATATTACAAACAACTGTAGAAAGAGAAAGATAAATAGACATACGACCTATGATTATTACACACTATTTAAGTGAATTGCCCCATTTAAATTGTCCCACTTCAGCTACCAGAGTAATAGCCCCTTATTCCTGTAGTGCAATCTACTACTCAAAACTTCATTCAGATTGTCTGAAATGCACAATCTCTATGCCATGTGTACTTGATTAAAAGCATGCAAGGAATTTTTTCAGGATGCGTAAGTGCGCTGAAGGGAAAGAAAATTGATTTGTGTGTGTTTTACAGCATGGGGGGTGCCTTTGGCGGAAACCTGAGCACTTGAGAGATACAGCGAGGCGGGCAGAATCTATAAATACCACGGCTGAGTGAGCAGGGCTTAAGAAAAAGAAGAGGAAGCTGAAGTGGCTGTCTGTCCTCACTGTCGGCCCTGCCGCTTTGACATGAAAGCTGCTTGGTGCAGTTTTAGATTTCAAATGAGGCAGGAAAACAAATCCATCTGTCACTAGACAACTCATTTAAATGAAGGATGGAACGAGGAGGGATTTTATCATCTATATAGTTGGATTAAAGAGGCTAATTTCTAGGTATGAAGGCATTAAAACACAATTTTGGGGCCTTTAGATGAAAACCACAACAAACCCTTGATGATACAGAACAGTACGTCAAATATAGATGGCAGATCCATTTGTGTCAACATTTTTTCTATTTCCTAGAAGCAACCGTGTTTGGTGCCATGTAGTGTCAAATTCTGCAACATAAATGACGCAGATGTAACAAACAGCTCGGGGCTTTTTCTATTTTTTTGATGGCTCCAACAAAACATTCATCATGCATAAAGCTGCCGCTCCCTTTCTCTTTCTGTCGCTTATAGTTTTGTGTTGTTGTTTTTTTTCACATAAATACAGAAATAGCGGAGGGAGGCTACAAGCCAAGATTTATTGGCTGAAACTACAAACTGGACAGCAGATCCCGTTATATTTCTAAAAGTCCATCCACAGTAGTGTCCATATCTTGAAACCTTAATATCCAGGGATTTTAAGTCAGAGCCCAAAACACAGTGGTGCAAAAAATACTCTAATACCACCAAATAGATTCCAGTAAAATCAGTTGCCTAATTGATAAATACAGTTTCGCCATGTATTAATTATTGTTAGTAAACAGGGGTTTGCAAAATTGTCAATAAGTGTTGAACTTTTCAACATTTTGTCAAATTATCTTATGTGACAGACCAACGCAAAGTGATATATAACTGCAAAGTAGAAAAATATCAATTGAAGGGGAACATAGGTATACAAACTTATAAAAAGTTTGCATATCTGAACCTTCATACCAGTGGCGGTTCTAGATTCACCTAAGGAGCCGCAGTGGGGCCAGTGTTTCTTCTGAACAAAAGAATAACAAACACATGCAAAAAAAAAGCAGCGTAACACCACATTGTTTAATATAATAATAATAATAATAATAACAATAATAGAATAAAAAAAAACAACTGTGATCTTTTCTTAATACGGCTGAAACTTAAAGCTGACAGTAAATTCAAAATAACTCTTAAAGTAGATAGATGAAACATTAAATTGGTTCAAGGGACGAATCAGTTCTAGTTTCTTTAGCTAGTGTATGTCATCATAAGAAATTGATTTAGTATTACACAGCTAAAACAGATCTATATGTATTTAATTGTAATAAAGTAAAATAAGTGTATATGCCCTTAATTTGAGCAAGCAAATAATATGATCTACAAATAGAATGAGCAGTTTTTCTTTTAAAATGAAACAAAATCAATTTTATGCATTTGAAATAATATAATGAAGACTTTTTTTTCTTATTTTAAACACAAGTCATCTTATTGATCTGCAAATTGTCTTAGCTCTTCAAGTCAAGAAAACAAATACGCTTTATAAAATATATAATTCTGTTTAAATGTTTTTAGCAGAGGGGTAATAACAGTGACTAGTTTTACAGGGGCACTGGCCCCTGGCCACTGTTTAGTACCGCCCATGTTCAAGACGAATGTCTGCAATAAGGACTTCCATGAAATATCCTTGATTATTCTTCCTCCACCTGTGAAGACACAGGGTTCACTATTCTGGGAGATATTAATTTTGTTGAATGCTTCAAATCCAGATCTAAACCCAATTGAAAAACTTGGGCGAAGATTTAAAACATAAAAGTATTAAAATACAACAAAAGGCAAAATTCAGTCTCTTGAAGTGCAAAGCTGGAGTCAGATAACTGAAGCTTTAATTCTAAAATATCCTTTATCCAAAAAAAACTACACTTGGCATTTTTATTTGTAAAAAAAGAAAAATAATTACCAAAGAATATGTATCTTTTTCCTTCCCATTAATAGGCCTACTGCACTTTGAATTGCTGATGTGTTAAAATGAACAACTATATGGAATAAACCCAGAATCCAGAGGCACAGCTTAATATGTCTACATGTGATGTGTAGATGAAACTGCTGTTTAGTAAATGAAACTTAAATCTGTGGTTGATGATTTCTATATTTCCACATGAAAAAGCCAGGCTCCTTGCTGCTTATCACTGCTACTGCAGATGTTTAAATAGAGCCTGTTAGCGCTCTAATTCTAAATGATTCTGAAAGCACTCCAATTTGGTTTAATGCTTTAGAAATTGCAGCAAAATTATGTTTTAAAAAGTCTTTGAAATGTGAGGCCAGATAAGAGATGTGATGACTTAATTAGTATAAATCTGAACCCTAACACCATTTGCATGGAGAAATTGGCTTCATTTAGTCAAATCTCAAGCTTCAGTTGAATCCCAAAGTCACGAGTTGCTTTTGAAAGAGGATCTGCTTTACATTTGAATCGGCGCTGTGTTTTTAGTGTCACCTGACACAGTTAATACACCTCCACCTCATCTGCACCTCTATAAATGGAAGCACATTTACTGTCATGCGATATTATGCTTTTGTAAAATGAAAGCAGATGACTTACCGACGACATATTCATCCAGATGACCAAAAAAAGAAAACAATAGTGTCTGCAATTGCATGGTTTCTATTATGGTTTGTCAGTAAAAACAGGTGCACAATCTTAAACACATGTTAACCCTCTTGCAACCCCCCTTCCTGTGGCTTCTGCTTCCTGCATTTGCTGCACACAAAACCAGCTGAAAACAGCTACAATACAGCACATGAGAACAGACAACGTGAGCAGACGAAGTTAAACATACTGTACTGTTTACTTCCTTTTTTTCCTGATGGCTGGAAATAATGCAGCACCCACCACATCACGCACAACCTCAGGTACTCCAATATTTAATCCTAAACTCGTATAACCATTTTATAATGTTAGATTAACTGAAATGTTTATTTTGCATCAAAAAATGTATTTCCTCTGTTTCAGTTCGGTTCAAATTCTTCTGATCGTTTTCTTTTCTCCCATCTTCTCCTCTTTAATCAGGCTGATTTGTTTTGACATCATCTGCTGTGACTAAAACAATGCAGCCCAGTCTCTCTGAATCACCCTCAGATGTGTATTCCTCAGTGAACACGTGTTCACAACTGCGCACGTGACTCATGTCATACAAATCGATAACACTGTCAAGTGACCCAGTGATGATGAGGAGGAGGCGGTTACAACAATTCGTATAAATTAGAAATATACACATGAAGACAGCTGCGGCCCAGCTACATCTGCAGAAATTCTTGGACCTTGGAGAAAAGCTTACTTGTGCTCTTATTTGAAATTCATCAGCACAAACTTTAGGCTAAATAGGTGGAAACTAAAAATAGCTCCTGTGACCAGAGCACGATGTGTAGGAGGATGTACGTAGCTGTGTGGTTTGTGATGCTGCTAAGGCAAAAGGAAGGAAGGAGGGAATAAGTACATGAAGCTCGCTGTTAATATTAGAAATGAAAGTTTAAATATGGTTTGTAAAGAACTAACATGATCTTATCATGAGGTGCCGATAGATAAAAGGCTTTGGAGGGGAGTTAAAATGCTACATTTTAGCAGTATTTATATGGTCTGTATTTTCATGATCCTTTTGTTTCTGCTTTTTTTTCCAAAAGATTTTTTCTTTTTTTTATTTCTGAATTAACAAAGATAGCTTCAGATTTCAAACAATCCACTCTATGACTTGCATCTGCTGAAATAGTTTTCATAATACATTGTTTACAGATAGGCTACACTCTCTGTTTTGATATGACTCTTTAGAATCTAAAGAGTCCTGTTTAAACCTCAAAATCTGAGAAAAATTGGCTGATCATACCTGAATCTAACCTTACACTCAAAGCCGAATTATCACGAGATCTGAGTTTTCAGTCTCACAACAAATCCATCTTGAAATAATCGCTAATACTTCCGTCTCATAACCACTAGCAGGTTGGACCAAAGGCACGCCAGCAGTGTTTTTCGGAGCGGAACAGGAATGACGACAGTCAGAAGGGCCTTGCCAGGGCATTGCAAACATGGCTACGCTGGAGGACTTACCTGTCGTTACCCCAACTGACTCGGTTTTAGCTAAAATAGCAACAGTTTCTCGTTTAAAAAAGGAGCAAAGGGAAGCACTTTGTGCATTTGTAGAAGGGAAAGATATCTGTTCTTTTTTTCTGAAGGGATTTGGAAAAAGTTTGATTTATCAACTTATTCCTCTAGTTGTGAAAACACTCAAGAAGCTAAATCCTATTGTGATCGCCGTGACCCCATCTGTGCCTCTCATGGACGACAAAGACAAAACCTTTGTCACTGAAATTTGGCTGAAAGTGTATTATGGAAGGCGGGTACTAGCTTGCACGTCACCCAATCAGATCCAAGAAGAGCTGATTGGGTGACATGCAGACTGAACATCAGCCATTCCAGATTCATACCATAGAACTCAACTCAGTTCTACACATATCAATCTGACTACATCCAGGTCAAACTGAACCAATAGAAACAAAAAAAAAAACTTTTTTACTACCCCAGTCATCAGTAACAACATATTACTATAAACTGTTAAAACCTGCTTAGCCTTTTGTTTTTTGCTTTATTGATGTTGCATCAAACAATTAATAACAGCCACAGCATAACTTTTGGCTTTAATGCGAGACAAGAGGATGTGGTGCAGACTGGCAGACAAATAAATAGAAGTTTGAATTTAGTCGGCATGAACAAAGACCTGAGTAAATAGTCGGTGAAGGAAAGATTGAGAATTACATTACAGACAAATAAGATCAAACCCAGAATCCAACTCTACTGTTATTACTGTCTGTCAACAAGCCCTAATTATAAATAACCACACTGGTCTCTTTTTCCATTATGCCTTCTCTTTCTGCTGCTACTAACCCTGCACAATGCTTGACAGTCTTAACAAAGCTTCCCTGAGGCCCTTAATCTAATAGAGCAGTCTCTGTGAGCCACACACACCGACGCACCAGCCAAGCAGGACAGAGTCATGGAGAAAAGACGAGGGACAAACATGAAACATCAGATGAATGAGATAAATTGGACGCTGGGTAAGAAGTGACAGAGAGAAAGAAGAGCGCTATTCTCTGAGGAACTCTGGTGGGGGATCTTATGGGGGCTCATTATTTGGTTTTGTGTGTTTCCATCTGCTGCTACAGCCCACGGTCGATCAGGACTCTGTCCTACGTCAGGGTGTTCAGTCCCTGATGCTGCAGTATGAGAGAGGAGGACACTGTAGAATGGAAATGCACATGGCTCCAGGTTACCTCTATATTCTGAAATCTTTTGGTCCATTCTAAATCAGGATAATGTATGGGTCTTATAATGTTCTTTTATATACACACCATTTAAAGAGCACAGTGAGTGGGTGGTCTTACGTAAAGCTAGTCTGTCAGAGAAAAGTTGAGAGAGAAAAAGTGACATCCCGTCCAAGACTCCAGGCTGCATCAGTGCCGACGCTCACGACTGGCACAGTCATGCTTCCATCGTGTCACAAAGCATTAGGGAGAGTAAATCCCTCCTCCCACTCCCATTAGTTACTTAGCCCTATGCTTAATTTCTCAACTAAATTTATCAATAATATGTGCCACTTTAATTTAAAAGGGGAAAAAACACAAATGCAATAATATAATTAATAGTTTTCTTAAAAGATTTATGTATTAAAATACAAAACTGTGCTTTGCAAGCATATTTAGCTCATTTTACTCTTCTAGCCCTTCATGAAATCCAGTCCAGCCAATTTCCTTTTGATGCCACCCGATTTGTAAATAGGGCTTCTGTGTAGAAAGTGTAATCTCAATGTGTATTTTCTGTGAAAGACTCAGTGATTTTTTGGAGAAAAGTGAACAACGGCTTATTGGCCGTTAGCCAATAGATGAGGAGTAGTTATTGAAAATTTTAAATCAGAGTGCTGTTAAAATCACTCAAGAAAGGACAGAGAATGGTAGAGCCTCACACCAACTGACAGGCTGTACAAAGTGAGCATTCTTCAGAGAAGCAGCCAAAGGGTTCATGGTAACTTTGGAGAAGCTGCAGATATCTACAGCTCAGGTGAGGGAAACACTTTGTTGCTTTCTTAAACTAACCTGTATGGAAAGGTTAGGTTAAAAAGAAATCCATAAGAAGTCCCATCTGCAGCGTGCAATAAGCTATGCAGGAAAATATTAGACTTGCATGCAAAATAACATGTGAGGTACAACTAAAACACATCCCACTGAACACACCATAAAGCCAAAGCAAAGCATATTTTTACATTCCAGTGGGCTAATTAAAGCCCCTCCCATATTTAATTCAATTCGATTCAGTTTATTTATATAGCGCCAATTCACAACACATGCCATCTCAAGGCACTTCACAATTCACCAGATCATACAGTCAAATTGATTTAAAGATTTCTATCTAAGGAAAACTCATTGACTCGAATGCAATCCCTCACACTAAGCATGCTTGTAGTGACAGTGGAGAGGAAAAACTCAATTTTAAACAGGAAGAAACCTCCAGCAGAACCAGGCTCAGTGTGATTTACTGGTAGACAACTCTGATCTGAAGGCTAATGTGTATCCAGGCCTGTTAAACCACCTCAGTAGATGTCTGTGCTGTTCAACAGCATCAGTATGTTTCTATTCATACTGATGCTGAGGTTCCGCAGCATCCGCTGCAGATCCACCAGGTTGTGCAACAGCTTCTTCCCCACTGCCATCAGACTGTTGAACCTTTGATCCACAATCCGAACTCTGCACCTATTGCACATTATCGGGCATCAAATGCTGCTGAACTTTTAACTTTTAGCCCTTTAAATTGTTCATCTCATTGTATTTTTCAATAACGCATTTTTTGCACAAATGCCATTTTGCACTGAACCACTGCAACTTGCACACTGTCTCTTATCCTCTGCACTGTTCACACTTTGACCACTGCTGCACTTTTTGTATTTTTCTATAACTCGTGCCATTTGAAATATCAATGCAACGTTCATAAGCTGTATGTAACGCAATTTCGTTCTGTATGCACCCTGTGCATACAAAATGACAAATAAAGAAGTCTAAGTCTAAGTCTAAGTCTATTCAGAACCAGAGTTTTGATGTTTCCGCCCCTCAGAGGAAAAGCACAGCAGGATCTTGCTCTGGGTTTAAGTGTTTGCTGCAGTGAGGGTTACTCACTCCAGACGTCAGTCAGAGTGGTCCCTCCTGTGCAGCCAGCAGTAGATGAATTAGAGAATATCTGAAAGCTTCACATTGTTCTGCTTCATTACCGACTGACCTCAACCCAAAAAAGTCTGAATTCCTGAATCTTCCTCTGAGTAATGAAAGATGTTTAAATAACACCTTAAGTTTTCCTGTTTCCCCCAGTTTGAGTGAGCTGCACTATGATAATATATTTTTTTTCTTCTAGGTCATACATGTTAGAAATAGTTGACTTGCATGACTTCTCTTTTGCTTCCAGTGGAGCTGGATGCAGAGCACTCACAGAAAGTCCCTGGAGCTGAACAGGGAGGGGTGCCAACGCCCCAGGTGAAGCTGAAAGAGAGACAGAAGTTCTTTGAGGAGGCATTTCAACAAGACATGGAGCAGTACCTGTCTACGGGTTACCTGCAGATCACCGAGAGGAGAGGTGAGAAGAAAAAAGAATTCATCATTTATGCTCTGCTGCAAACTGTATTTTGACTTTGTCTACATTATTTTTGAAGACTGTCATCATACCATATGAATATATAGGCTTGCTGTAGGACTGCAATAGAATCATACTGCTGTTTACACTAAATTTGTCTACCAAAAGTCAGATTAAATTCCCAAAGCGCAGAAGCTCGTAGCCTCAAAGATCCGGAGTTAAAGGATGTTGCAGACTCTGTTGTGATTGGGAATGTGATTTTTCTCCTCTCTCTTTTGCTCATTTATCCTCCTCCGTTAATCCTCTGGAACTACTTTATGAACTAAGATTGTGGAGCAGCGTGGAAAGAGAGATGGAGCCGGAGGAGAGAGACTTAGGGATAAAGGACGGAGGAAATCTGTGGGGTTTAGGTTTTTCACTGTCACTCAAAAGCTGCTTGTTGTTAGTAAAGTGCTTCTTTTCATCTAAGTGAAATCTAAGCAAACTGCCTTGAAAGAATTTAAGAAAATAAAGGTGAAGTTTAGCGAACTAAACAATGATTCTTTGCTACCAATTTAAACATGTAAGATACATTGTCATCCATACTAAGTACTAAGGGGAGTATCTAATAGACCATAAAAAAGAAGCACAAAATTGAGCAGTGGAGTAAAAAAAATAAATAAATTAGTTAAACACATTTCTTTTCCAAATCAAAAATCCACAAAAAGTTCGGTCAGCATGTCTGTTCACCCCCCTCTACTCTGATGCCCCTAAGTTGCCCAAATGTGGAACTTTGAGTCTGTGAAGCTGATATGGAAGGAACCCAGAGAGCCACCAGAAACAAGACTCAAGGATTTTTACGCTTCGCATTTTTTTTCTTTGTCGTACAACAAACAGAAAGATTTATTCTGTAGAAAATGACAGCCCATTCCAGCAGAAGAACGCTTTCAGGGAAGGTCGTATCGAGGCTGACAGAGGTGTGTGCTGCGGGCTATCTCATGGAAAAGATGCATTCAGTGGAGAGAACCAAAACCTTTTCAACATTACCAATCGTCCTGGTTTTTATCCATGCTCCAGTGCTGGGAACTCTGCACAGGGTGGAATCTATCATCCATATACCAGATACTAAGCATCTATTAGGATGAATTAGATGTGTTTCTTTTAACAAATGCTTAATAAGAAACATCATATTGGTGAAGAATGGAGTAAAGGAAGACAATATGCATGCAATAGTGATTTGAATTCATCCATTGTGGCATTCTATGGTGTAATAACTGTGTGTTTGTGCTACAGTTTAAAGGGCAGGGAGACTTTAGGCAGCCTCTATTGAAAATAACACCCCCACTCTTTTTCTTTCTTGTTCCCCCTCTCCTTTTTTACTCTTTTCTCTCCCTGTGCTGCCCTCTTCTATTCTCCTCCTTTTCCTTGAGGTAATGGCATCTTCTATCACTCCTGTTGTAACAGCCAATCATCTCGCTTCTTCCTCCTGTGCTCACAACTCCGCTACCCCCCGCTGCCTTCCTACCCTGCTAACTGCACCCCACCCCATCCTACCAGTGCAAGCACTTGGTGTTTGTGATGCATGCAGCTAAACCATTATAAAAACCTGATGGGTAAGGGGGGGCTTTGCACTCCTGCAAGGTGGTGAATCCCAGAGCGAGTTAGCTGTAAAGAATGATTCTATGTTCAATTTCACATATGTCTGTTAGTTTTATGTGTTTTACCAGAATCTATTATTCCTTCCAGGCAGTTCACACATCATATTAATGACTCTGCTAATCTGCTAAAGTCACAGCTTTGAATATTTCAGGACTTTGTCATAATTTGTCACCTTCACTGGCTTATTCAGAGCTATTCTCTACAGAAGCTCACTAAGTCACAGTGCAAAAACTAAAATCTATGTTTTTTTCAGCATTCCCTGCTGGTATTTGGATTGCTGAAAACATTCAGCCAGATAGCAGAGGATAGACAGATGAAGCCTTGGCATAAATTGATAAGCAATTACATCTTTGATGTGATAATAACTCTTTATAGCTGCTTCAGTGTAGCAGTATTAAAACAAGCTCCGAGAAAAGCTTTCTTTCATATGATTGCATTGTTTTAATAATTTTTATTTTATACATTGGAAGAGAAGCTTGATTCTAACCACTATTGCAAACAATAAGTACATGTTCTTTGTTCCTTAACTACTTACTGTTAATTGCATGTCTGGAAATGTTTGGAAATGTGCATGCATGTCCAACATTTTGGATTGCACATGGTGTAGAAATCTCCTAAAAGTTCTTAGCTTTGGGAACCTTAAGTTGACCTCATGGCTAATCTAAGTGAAATCAAAGCAGGGCTGGGATCAAATTAAAACACTTAAAACAGCTCTGGTCATTTCAGACTGGTGGCAGCAGACGCTGTTTTTTGCACTTTTGACCATCCATTAATTTTGGATTACATGTCTACTCTAGGGAAACCTTTAGGGTTCCTAAGCCTCCAGAGAAGTTTTTTTTTCTGTGGACATGTTTAAACTAGAGAATAGACTAAAAAGAAATAGAATTCACCTGATTTATTCCATGTTTGAAAGTCTATCCATCTTTCTGTCTAACAATTTATCTATCCATCCATCCATCCATCCATCCATCTTTTAACTAATACTTGGTTTAACATGAAAATGTGGTAACCCTAATCTTGGTCCATTTTCTATTAACAATAATATTCCAATAGAATTTTATATTCCTAAATCCAACATTTTCTAATGAAAACAGTTTAGAAGGAAAAGAAAATAAATTTGAAGCTAATAAAATGTCATCCGTATGAATTGCTTCTTCATGGTCTATGTTTGTCACCATTTTCAATGTATCAAGTACCCACTCTGGTAACAAGCCATTATCCTACTTGTCCTCATAGTAAAAAAAAACACCCTACACAGCATCACACATGTAAATCTATTTACTGCACGATTGCATTTGGCTTCCAGCATATTCTTTTTTTTTTTTTTTTTTTATAAATCATACGTTTTCCAATTTTAAACACTATTTAGCTTTTGTGTGCCTTCTGCATTTGTTTTTGTTGAGTAAACTTAGAGCTAAGCTCTTTTCTTCCTGGACTCCTTGCTGCTGAATTTTCTCTGCTCTGATGGCTGCTGATGTCTGACTGTGGTCTGTTGTGTTCAGAGCCAATAGGCAGCATGTCATCCATGGAGGTGAACGTGGACATGCTGGAGCAGATGGATCTGATGGACATGTCTGATCATGAGGCTTTGGATGTGTTCCTGCACTCTGGGGGAGAGGACAACAGCGCCGCCTCACCCGTCACAGGTAAACAGAACAACTTGGAGACTTTACAGGAGTCTAAATATTTCGAAATTATGCTACAGTATAAACTATGTGTTGCTCTCATATACCACAATGCAACACACTCGTAAACATTTCCTTTTTAAAATTTTATCAAACTTTAGGTATTTTAATTGTTTTGTGATGGACAAATAAAAAGCATTAGTTTTCAAAAACCATTTTCAACATCAGTTTATCAGATCTTGACTTTGACTAGGCCTAAATTGTAAGGTGATCGTGGTGGCTCCAGGCTTTTGAAGGATCTAAAATATGTTACTCATCATATAAAACTTTGTTTCGTTTTTTTTTTTTTTTTATCTGAGCACTTTCCTCTTCATGTGTGCTCTCTGTCTGCTTTATGACTTTTTTCAGATTTCTCATATTAATGCTCCCCTCACTCAGCCGATCAGTTAGGTCAGGCATGCCCAAAGTCGGTCCTCGAGGGCCGCTGTCCCGCAGGTTTTAGAGGTTTCTCTGCTTTAGCACAGCTGATTCTGATGATTGCAGTTCAGCAAAAGCCTGTTAATCAGATATCAATGTAAATCAACTGTGCTGAAGCAGGGAAACCTCTAAAACCTGCAGGACAGCGGCCCTCGAGGACAGACTTTGGGCATGCCTGAGTTAGGTGGTCAGCCATACATTGGTAGAATTAGTCTTGTACTAAATTCTTTGTATTTTTGGATAAGAACTTGAACACTCTGCGGGATATGTATTTTTATTTTTTTTTCATTAACCAATTAGGTGTCCTGTGGAGATAAATTGTTTGCAGTCGATTTCATGTTTCAGTAGCAGAGTAAAAAGGTTCTGAATACAAACACTCACTATACTAAGTATTTTTAGGATGAACCCATTTCTGTTAAAAGAATCACATACAATATTATAAAGATGTTGCTCTACGCTGACAAAATGGAAGATAATTTAGGTAGAATGAACTGTTTTTATATCCCTTCTTCAGGTTGAAAGTGAATAATGCTTATTACTCCAATCAAATTTTAAATGTCTGAATTGTTTAAAGAGGAAACTTCTCCTACTCATTCTGCAGGAGTTTCTAGACTGTCACAGCTTACGTATTTAATCATTCTATCATCCTCAAGGTCCAGATGTGGAGTCCTTTACAACCGAGATCAGCCTACAGGTTCCCACCCAGGCCGAACTCCGACACAAGCTTTCATCGTTGTCATCCACCTGCACAGATTCAGCCAGCCAGGACACTGAGGCCGGGGAGGATGATGAGGAGGAGGAGGAGGCAGAGCAGGGAGGAGGGGGTGTTGTAGGAGGAGGAAGGAGAAGAAAGGCCCCTGTAGTAGTGACCCTGGATGAAGAGGAGGTCCATCCAGACACTGCACTAGTAGAGAGAGAGGATGATCAGAGCAATCGAGACTGTGAGGAGAGGAGGCAGAAGGTTTGAGGAAAGTTGGACTCGGTTTGAAGGGTAAACCCTCACAGCTGCCAAATCAAACTTAGATATATATTCTATTCTATGGCTCTTTTTCCCAAGAAAATGTTCATTTCCTGCACAAGGTAACACTGAGGTTGCACTAACTGCCACATAAACTTGCCTTAAGAGACCAGTTCAATCTGATTTAATATTTTTAAAGAGGTTTTTGCCCCCCATCCAAAAAATACTCAGTACAAACTGAAATGGTTCAGGCTATTTCAGAGAACCGAATCAACAAGTTGTTGGAATTTCAATGCATAAACTTTTTAACTATTGCATACCTTGTTTTAGTAAATCAATTAGAAAACTCCTACAGACTAAAGACCAGAAGATTTAAAGAAAAAAATCAATCTCCATCACATAAATGCCATCTACTAAACGATATCTCTACTGTCAGAGTATGTGCTCAGTATTCCGTCTGGGTATATTTTGCACCAATTATTGTATCAGTGGCATGGATGGAGATTCGTCTGGGGGATTTAGAAGATCCTTTTAAAGTTGCAATTTATAAATGTTCTGCTGCAGTTTTTCCTTCCACTAAATGTTATTTGCTTGGATCCAGCACTATTTAAACCATTACCATATCTATCAATTATATTGAGAGAGACAGAGAGGGAGGGGGGTTGGTTGGGGGTCAAAACATTTCTGTGTGAAATACAGGTTTGTATTGGTCTTATCTAATATTACAATCTTCAGAAGTTCTATTTTGGGTTTTCATTAGCTGTAAATAATAGTGAGGACAGTAGTAAACAAAATTAATATCTCTCTAAAGGAAACTATATTATAGTTCAACATAATACTAATTTTTTTTTTTCCAGATGCAACTAGTTTTAGATTATATCGTTTCTGATTTGCTTACCTTACAAATTCATTATTTTAGCCATCAGTATTTTAGTGGTTGAATCTCCATAGACCACATGATGAATAAAACCAATTTTAACACAACAGTGGTTCTTAAATTGAGGAAGATGGAAGTAAAATCACAAAATGAATAAAGGCAGAAATGATCAAAGATGATGCTTTAAATAGAACTACTTTTATTTCAAAAATCTAAGTAATATAGATTCTGAAATTGATAGCCGCAATAGGACCCCCCCAATCAAAACCTTGCTTTGTCCTTTTCTTAAATGTTCTAAAAACTTTCAAGAGAAATCCAAAATAACATTGAAATCTGGATCAGAGGATTTGTGAGAATCCTGATGTTCTCCATCTGTGAACAAAACCTCCTGATAAAGCAAATAAACTCACTAGGGCCATGTCTGCTTGAAGGTAATGTTATTGTGTATAAATCCTGAAGCTGTTCTTTCATTGTTGGAACTTTTACTAAGTATATAACAGTGTTTTTACCTCCTGTGTTTTAATGAAATAAACTACTTAAAGCCACAGGAGAATTGTGAAATGTTGAACTTCCTTTATTAGAATCAAACTAGTTTAAAGAGCTAAGCCATATTTCTCTTAATCACCTATATTTAAAGACAAATCTACAGCCTTGCTGATAAATTGGTAAAAACAAACACCACATGCAGCTTTACTTTTTGTAGCTCATCCCTGCAGGATGTGTGTCCCGATTGAGTAAAAGAATCCATAACCCTTTGTTTAAACAGATTAAATGAAATCCATTTCTGTGCTGGTATAAATTCAGTTTTGGTCTAATTTAGAGAAATAGAGCTGATTCATGAGCTGCAGGGGTTACAAGAAGTTTTCCCTTTCTATACAGAAATCTAAATATCAGCTGACTCATGTTTACAATTTTAATGTGTCAAATTTCTACTTGTATTCCAGTGACTGTACTACTGACAACCTTGTAAATGTTGCACTTATTTTATGGACACATGCTCAGATAAATTATTATCCATAGTCTGAAATTGTTGACATATTTCCTCTAAAGTGGGACCAAGTTTCCATCCTGGACTGTGTGCTGAACATTAGCCTGAAGGTTAAATCGTATCCCAATCCTTGTTTTGTTTTTTGGTCAAGATATGCTCAAATTTGTGCAACATAAATACATTATCCCTTCCTTTTCTTTCCCTCTGTTTAATTTTGCTGACTTGTTAATAAAGGTTTCTGCTCAAGAGAGAATCAGGCTTCCTCTGAGCATTTTTTGGGGGAGCAGTGGGCTGCAATCGTGGGGCGTCTGGGGATCAATCGGGGTCTTGCTCATATACCCAGGTGGCAGTCTCTGGGAGTGGGTTTCGAACTTAACATCTCAGTATTGCAAGCTCTATGCCCTAAAGTAGGGCACCACTCCCCTTTAATTTGATGGACTGTCTTGCATGAATGGATACAGAAATTTTTAGACCACAAATTTTTTTTACTGTGCAAGTATAATTTCTGATTTTCGCCAGAGATGTAAGACATTATTACAAACACAACAGTCAGAGTAAACGTCTTGGAGGCCCAAAGTTTCTGTGTGGGTTTATTTTGCATAGTAAACAGTCAAAGCTGATGTGCGACAGTGAAACTCAGTACGTTTTAAAGTTTAAAGAGCTACTGGGGCAGCTGACAAACATTGCATGTTAATGGAGTGAGTGGGTTTCTGTTTACTTTATAGCTCATAAGAGGACATCCTATTTTGTTGCTGGTTTCCAAGTGTCTTTGCATTTTAACTATTTAGCTTTTGTCAACCAAAATATACGTTTTTGGCAACTTTTTATCTGTTCGTGTTTTGAACCGATTTCCTTTTTTAAGGTCTCTCCTGTAGTTCACTGTCACTGCAGTCATAAATTAGCTTAAAAATCAGAATTTTCAGATTTTCTGTACAGGTTAACCTATCAAATGTAAGGGTTTGCTAAACTGCCCTCAATGAATTTATATTCTTTCACCGTTTTAACAGCAGCACAGATTTAAAGGCAGGTTTGTGCCAATTCAAATTTAAAGTTTCTTCCAGAACTTAAAAATGTAATCAATAAATGTAAGAAAACAATTACCTTCATTTCAAATGATCAGATTTAAAGATTAATCATAGTAATTTAATGAACTTTGGTTCTTATGGCCATTTGACATAAATAAATGACAGTTTTCATATGAAATGATCCAGATGTTTGTGATTTCCTTCTTTATTACACATGTTAAATTAAGCAAGAAAAACTCAATTTGAAGATATGAATGTCTTTGTCATTATGGAATATTAGGCTCCATTTAAATGTCGCTGAACGTCAAACAGATGCATAAAAATTTGAAGGCAGTAAAATCGGTTTAGACATAAAAAATCCCGACACAAAGAACCAAGACACAGGTAGGTTGGAAAGTACTGACAGTGAATTGTCTGTAAGTTTTTATTAAACCTTAAGTACAAACTGCAAAAGTAAAAAACTGTAAATATAACCAACATGAAACTCTTTCCCAATGAGAGGAAAGGCCGACAAGCGGCTTTAATAAATTAAGTCACCAGATATCCCATTGTGAGCAAGTAGTTTGTACTGTAGAAAATGGAAGAAAAACCAACGAGAACTAAGCAATAAAACAAAAAACAAAACAAAAAAAAAACCCCGTAAGAATAAAATATATTGTAAGGCCATAAAAACTTGACAACCACTTTTTAAGCTGAAAACACCTTGGTATTTCTTTAAATAGTCCTAAAACAGTTCAGTCTTCTGCAAGGGACAAATACCGACAAACTGGATTATAGGATTTTTCCTTGACAGTCACCACTGGCAAGCTCAGTGCAACATGAGTAGCTACTACATTTTTGTTGAATTTTCAGTAATGAAAATGTAAAAACCCCTTTTTTGTCGACATATCTTTTTTTCCCTTTTCTTTAAAAAAGTAAAGCTGAACAAACAAAACTAGGTTCAAGAAGAATGGGAGGGGAGTGAGTGTAGGGTGTGTGTGTGTGGGGGGGGGGCAATCATTGGCTACTCGATATCTTCTTTCTTAATGATATAAGCAGCACTTAAAATTTTTATACACATTTACCAGAGCAAAACCCTGTAAGCATCAAACTCACACAGATGAAGAAAGGGAATTGTAAGGCTTTTTCTTCATCAAGCACTCTCCTCTCTGGAAAACTCTCTTCTGCATTCTTCTCCTTCCTTTTCTTTCTTACTTAACCTCAGGAAAAAAAAAAGGCTCAAGTATTTAAAGAAATTTACAGGATATATGTACAAAAAAGTTGATGTTTGTTTGTGTTGGACTTTTTCTTCTCTCTAAGAATTACTTGTGTATCTGGTGGGGGAAAAAAAGGGGGGAACAAAAGGCAAAAAGCAAAGAAAGAAAAATGTATATTTCACATTTTACACTCATTAACTAGTGGCTCTACTTGAGATAAAACATCAGCTCAACAAATGGGGGGGAAAAAAAACAACTAAATAATATAATAATTAATGTTTACTGGTACAGATGAAACAAGAGGACTGGAAGAATGGAATGTTAACACGATTGCACATCTAGAACCAGAAAAGCCTGAAAGCCTTTCTGACCTGTAGGGAGAGGGGGAGAGCAGGCGCCAACCGCCCCCTCAAACTTTTTTTTTTTTTCTTGTTTTTTTTTTTTACTTTTTGCGTTGTTATACAGTAATTTTTACCAACAGCACCAATAAAAGGGGTCTCCTTGCCAAGAGTGAGGCACCGATGACGTCTGACCGGAGATCCCTCTGCGTCGACATGGAAGTGAAGCGCCGCTATGCTCACTTCCACCGACAGACAAAAAAAAAAAAAAAACATAAAATAAAATACAAGGAAAAACAAAAGCAAACCTAGAAAACAAAAGCTAAAGATTTGAAATAGAAGTTAAAAAATAAAATGTAGCAACCAACATCGTCTTTCAAGTTTTTAAACCTTGCATCACCTCCTTTAGAGAAAAATCTGCAGGAAATGCATCCCAAAACTCAGAAAATTCAATAATAGGACTCGTCTTCCTCACAATGGAGGACAGAGAGAGAAACTTTGGGTAACTACTAAACAAGATCATCTGGAGGAACAAATCAAAAAGGGTGGGGAGGGGCGTCAATTTCATTCCAGGGAGGGGGGGGTTCAGTCTCAAGATCTAGTGATGCAAGAAAAATGAAACCCATTCTAATTCTAAGGATGGAGGGGTTAAAAATGGGGCCCTGCTGAGTCTTTCTCTGTATGTTAATGCTTGTACTGTTGATTCTGAGCGAGTTCGTGGGGGGATTGGGGGGTGACTACATAAAACAAAATAAGAAAATATCACTCAAGATAAAAACTAATTCTTCTTTCACACTAGTGCAAAAAAGACATCTTGCTTTGCTTTTATTTTCCTGTTTCCAGAAACAAGCTGTCACTAAAAGAGAGGTGAGTGAAATGGAGACTGAGCTCAGTTTAGGGGGGTGTGGGGGTGGGGGCTGATAGTGATCCTTCTTAATGTAGAAACTAAACAGAAGTAGAAGGTTGGAGAAGAACCTCGCTCCGCTTCAGGAGACGGCCGCCGCCTTCGGCATGTGGATGGAGGACAGGCGGGCCAGGGACACCTCTACAGTGGCGCGCTTTCGGGGGCCCCGCTTGGCTGGTGATGCTTTGGCAGGGCTTAGCGTGTGGCAAGAGTCCCCCCCTTCTCCTCCTCCGCCGACGATGACGGCCCCTCCTCCTCCGATGCCGACTCCTCCGTTCTTTAACATGGCCCGTCCGCACACTTGGTTCACCAAACTGTTGATTTGCTCCTGAGCAGGAAAGAAATGGCAGAAAATTGGTCTTTTAATGCATAAAAAATGATGAAGTGCAAATGGAGACATCTCTTAAAGCTTTTTAAAATCTAAATCTGGGCATCAGAACGGCTTGTTTTAAATAGGTATTTTAGGGCCTGCACATTCCTGAAGCATCCTGACAGTTGTCCAGCAGTCAGTCAGTGATGCCTTTCACAAGGTGTAGGCCAGTAAAGGTCCCTGGTGGGGTGTTTCAGCATAGCATAATAAGTAGTTAGTGGAAGGAAAACATGCAGCGGAAAGGATTTTAGGGAATTCCGAAAAAAAAAATCCCCTGTAGAGCTTAGGGGGAGAATTCACAAGATACAATGATTAAAGGCCATGGTGTCATTGAACTTCATTAGAAAAGCACCTGAACCCCCTACAGGAATCTATGGAGTATTGTCAACATGAGGAACAGGGAGAGGAGATGAAGCAGAGCCAATACTGCAGAAGCGCTAATTGCTCCCATCACAGCAACCTGGGCTTTAACACCTCAGAGACACAGAAAGTCGAGCAAAATAAACCCTGATCAAGTGTTGAGGCCACAAAGGGGGACACATTTTGGAAAGTTTAATTTTCCACATTAAAAATGTAAAATCCTAACCATCCAAATAATTGATTTTTCATCAAGCCCTAAACATACACTATATTGCCAAAAGTATTTGCTCACCCATCCAAATTATTGGAATCAGGTGTTCCAATCACTTCCATGGCCACAGGTGTATAAATTCAAGCACCTAGGCATGCAGACTGTTTTTACAAACATTTGTGAAAGAATGGGTCGCTCTCAGGAGCTCAGTGAATTCCAGCGTGGAACTGTGATAGGATGCCACCTGTGCAACAAATCCAGTCGTGAAATTTCCTCGCTCCTAAATATTCCACAGTCAACTGTCAGCTGTATTATAAGAAAATGGAAGTGTTTGGGAACGACAGCAACTCAGCCACGAAGTAGTAGGCCACGTAAACTGACGGAGCGGGGTCAGCGGATGCTGACGCGCATAGTGCGAAGAGGTCGCCAACTTTCTGCAGAGTCAATCACTACAGACCTCCAAACTTCATGTGGCCTTCAGATTAGCTCAAGAACAGTGCGCAGAGAGCTTCATGGAATGGGTTTCCATGGTTGAGCAGCTGCATCCAAGCCATACATCACCAAGTGCAATGCAAAGCGTCGGATGCGGTGGTGTAAAGCACGCCGCCACTGGACTCTAGAGCAGTGGAGACGCGTTCTCTGGAGTGACGAATCGCGCTTCTCCATCTGGCAATCTGATGGACGGGTCTGGGTTTGGCGGTTGCCAGGAGAACCGTACTTGTCTGACTGCATTGTGCCAAGTGTAAAGTTTGTTGGAGGGGGGATTATGGTGTGAGGTTGTTTTTCAGGAGCTGGGCTTGGCCCCTTAGTTCCAGTGAAAGGAACTCTGAATGCTTCAGCATCCCAAGACATTTTGGACAATTCCATGCTCCCAACTTTGTGGGAACAGTTTGGAGCTGGCCCCTTCCTCTTCCAACATGACTGTGCACCAGTGCACAAAGCAAGGTCCATAAAGACATGGATGACAGAGTCTGGTGTGGATGAACTTGACTGGCCTGCACAGAGTCCTGACCTCAACCCGATAGAACACCTTTGGGATGAATTAGAGCGGAGACTGAGAGCCAGGCCTTCTCGTCCAACATCAGTGTGCAACCTCACAAATGCGCTTCTGGAAGAATGGTCAAAAATTCCCATAAACACACTCCTAAACCTTGCGGACAGCCTTCCCAGAAGAGTTGAAGCTGTTCTAGCTGCAAAGGGTGGACCGACGTCATATTGAACCCTATGGATTAGGAACGGGATGTCACTTAAGCTCATATGTGAGTCAAGGCAGGTGAGCAAATACTTTTGGCAATATAGTGTACATTAAATAAATAGTATTAAAAATATAATAAAATGATAAATAAGTCTGTAATAAACCTACAAAGCTTTCAAAAAACACAAAACGCATGTGATCCCTGCTCTCACTTCCAAATTCTTAAGTTGATGTTGCCCTCTTGTGGACATGGAGAGAACATCTTACCTCATCATATCGATACATCATCTTCAGGCCCCTGCAGGACTTGTGCTTCTCCACATAGCGTAGTGCACACTCCAGACAGAAAACCACATTGTCCGTCTCCTGAACCACCTGCAGAGATGGACGATAAGACCAATATGGTCACCAGGAAAACAAACCAAGGAGCAGCAGGAAGGTTTGCCAACCTTCACATTAAAATAAAAAAAATGTTATCTTACCATGGACAGGTAGCACAGGTGCTGACAGATTTGGCAGCGTCTCTCTAAGGACTCCAGTGCCAGCCATTTCCCACGGGGCTTCTTGCGCCCATCGACAGGCCCAAAGTTGCCATCATGTGTGCCATACCTGGCAGAGGATAACAGACCCGCCTTAAAAAGTTCCTGACGTTGGTGAAACTCTATGTTCCTGTAGGATGAAAGGTAAACGGGTTCAGCACAGAGAAGAATCAGACAATGTTTGGATGAGACCTCGCTGAGCGAACAGGAAGGAGGTGGACATTTGCTAGGAGTAGTTGCAAAATATTTAAATATATTCAAATTATAATTTGATGAGATAATGATGAAAATACACACATTCTGTCTGGTCTTTACAAGCAACAGCTGCAGCTTCAACACTGATAAAAACTCTCCATTACACAGTTTCTACTGGTTTTACTATTCTTAATGGAATATCAGAAGGTTTTCATGTTTATCTAATATATGGCATCATAAATTTTGTTTTTTCTTTACTCAGTCTATTTATTAAATGATAAATACATCTTAAAACTACACTACAGCTGTAATAATGGAAGGAAAATTCACCTGATATTCCTCAGACTTTACGATGCGGCACTATAACTGCAATAACTTATGTGCAATCCCTATTTATTACCCTGTAAAATAACTCTGTATATACCCCACAAACCTTTTTCTCCTTTTGGCACATTGTTTCACTATTGAGTCGATGTGACAAGTGAATTTCTCCAGATCAATAAAGTCTATCTTATCTTCTCAGTGGAATTAACTGTTCTTTTAATTAGTCACATGTTTACATAGCTTTAATAAAAATAAAAAAAAATCTTGATAAAAGTACTTAAACCATTATATAATAAGTTAGCACACAATCCAATTATATGCTCACATGTTAACCTTATTTTTCTTTATTTTACACCTTTTAAGGGGTCATTAATTGTTTTGAGATATTTTCACTGTGATGCATTCGGAGTGGTTGTGTATCATCTTGCCTGAGGTCTTTGAGTAGGGCGGAGATGGTGGAGAGGAGAAGGCCGTTGTCCCTCTTGGTCTCTGCGGTGGCGATCTGATACAGTAGCTTTTCCATGGAGAAGGGCTTGGCTATACAACGAAATTTCAGGTCCTGGACAAAAATAAGATAAGCGTCAATTATATATATCAATTCCAATGAACACATTTTATTGTACTGATCTAAAGGAACTTTTCTTAGTGAAAATGTCACCTTTGACAGACATTCAAGCGATGGGAATGTTATTGCAATCTTTTTAAGAGAACAAAAAATATTTTCTAGAAAAGAAATATTGATCCTAATCCTTGTGTTTAGCACTTATCTGGATATAATCTCATCCATGTGTTAAGACATTGGATTAGTCTAAATAAGGTAAAATCGTGATTGCAAACCAAATACTTTGCAGACGAAGGCAGATTGACTCCAGTGTAAACGCTCATAAATGAAGCCTATGAACAGAACAAGCTAATGTTTCATTTCGAACGATTTCCTCAGATCAAACAAACAGGCAACTATGCATCTCTGTTCAAATCTGATATATATATATATATATATATATATATATATATATATATATATATATATATATTTCTACTGTGTGCATCCTGCTTAATGGACTGACCTTTGCAGCCTGGTAACCCAGGTTCATCCAGTGTGGTGTGGCGAAGTGCACGGTCTCAGACACGCTGTAGCCACAGCACACTTTAGAGACAAAGGCACCGGGGAAGCAGACCACAAACTGACCGCTCCGCTGGACTGTACGGTAAACCTTGATGCCTTCGCGGCACAGCACCTCTGGAGAAATCTGGAGGGTTAAAGAAAAGACAGACAGAACACTTGTTCAAAACAAGATATAGAAGCAACACATATTTATTCATATCTCCAACAAACTAAAATCTATTCCCAGATGATTGATTCATTTTTTAAAGGAATAACTGTGCTTCACAATTTCCACAAATATATACACAGGTGCTTTACCAACCAAGGTTAAGAAACTCCTGCCACACTGACAGCACTCACCATAATATTCTTCTCCAGCATTTCTAGTCCTGGGGTGCCATTGGCTTGAAGCAGTGTATGGACCACCTTGTCCAGCTTGGCCTTCTCGTCAGCAGGGACAGAATACCTACCAGAAAACACAGCATTTATCCATAAAAATGTACAGGATTACCATGACATGGCGAATTTTAAAGACAGGCCAGTGATGCTTACCAAATGCAATCAGCACCAGTGTGTAAGTAATCAATATATGGAAGGCGGTTTTGGTCTCGAGACCAGCATGAGGTAGAAAAGACCATGCCTATATTTAGCCAGGGAATAGTCACCCCTGTAAAAAACAGAAAGAAATAATAAGTATTACTGACTGTTGAGTAGACGGCAAAACAAGGAATAGACAACTTCTGCAAAGATGAAGCTAATAAAGCTGAAAGGATAGGATTATATTTTTGTGGATAGAGCTTACCAGGCACAGCACCCAGATGCCTCAGTATGGATCCAGAGTTATTGGGGAGGACAGTGAGGTTCCATCCATGTCTGAAAAAAGATGGAAAAATTAAATTTGAGGGATCTATCTGTTGTCAAAACTCCTAAATCAAATTTCTTTATGAGGATTCCTGTCACACTCAGAGACTTGGAGAGAATGCATCACAATTTACAGACATTTTAATGATCGAATGAATGCAACAGTTAGTCCTTTGCGAGGTCTATTAAAGCACTGAATGCAGAGTAAGATCTAAGGTTCTCTTTCTTTAGAAACAATCTTTCCTTGCAGAGACTAAACATAGCTGACTGTGGAGCGCAGCAGTTAAATATTTTTATATATATATATTACTAGGTAGTATACTAATGGCTGATAGGCTGTAAAGTTTATTTTATTAAGTTGAAAAATACATGGAAAGCATACATTTATAAAGCTCATAGTTGATACTAAACTTTTTCTAAAATGATTCTATCATTACATTATACTGAGTGTTCTATGTTTCAGATTTAGGTGACTACATCTCATTAAAGTTCTTTCAGCTGGTCTACTCTCTTATTGTTGTGTACAGCAGGAAGGAATGTCACCATAAATATAAAAGGCAACCAGATATTGCATCCATTCAGTCCTTTTTTCATTTATTCTGTTGCTCTGATTAAATACTTATTTCCTCGTAATATTTTCCTATGAAATAAATATGGGAATAATTTCAAAGATTAATTTTGGTTTTCTTTAATGTGCAGAGAGGCACAGAGCTGCTATCACACTGCTTCCTATTCAGCTGTGCAATATGGAATATAAAAAAAAAAACATTTTAAGCAGCTCTAAACCTTAGGATATTCAGACATTTTGGCAAATTATCCTTGAAGATGGGACGTAAAATTCATAGTGTTCCACTCATAGACTTTAATCATGACATACTGAAGGTTAGTTTCACTTTTTCCTCCCATAGGACCTGAATCTAATATCCTAATGTTTTAAACAAATCTATGTGCAGCCCCTAAGGATGCCAGAGCATGCTTTATAGAAGCATTGCATGTATTTGTCATGCTGAGGTAACAGAATCCTTCTCAATAGTTGCAGAGCATCTGCATGGCAAAACATGAGATGAAGCAAAGTTATTACCAGGTCATTAAGGTTTTATTAGTATTTGAGTTGGACTGACTCAATACAGTGTTTGTACATGTGCAGTACGCATGGAGTCTTAGAGCTATGACAGTTTTCTGATGAGTCTATAAAAAATTTATAATCTGGCAGAAAGAAGGTAATGCTTGGGAGTTATTTAAAAAAGTTTGCTAATTTTTCTGCATTAGAAGGCATATATGTGTTGGTGTGGAGTACATATTTTATTCAATGTTGTTCATGTTGTACTTGTACTTCTGATGCATTTGACAGAAGCTAAAACAGGCCATGGGATTATCAGCATCAATCTATTAAAGGTGTAGTGGAGGATTTTTGCAAATTTTCTACAAGACCTCCCCTCTCCGGTTTAAAAAAAAAATGCACATGCACAACCCTGTACCCGCTACCGAGAAGGAACGCCTATTAAACGTGTGTGAGAGCATGCACGAGCCCATTTCTCCTCGTGCACGCTCTCATTAAAAGTTGCTGTTTGTATTGCTCATACAAGCTTACTTTCCAAAAGAAGATTGGCAATTTATCCACTATATCCGACTCACCATCGGATAGTGAAAACAGGGACAAGCATGTAGGACGGCGTTACGTAAACATATCATCAGAATGATTGACGATTAGGAGGATCACTTATTTTGATGATCAACCCGGAAAAAGAACATCCTCCACTTTACCTTTAACGTGTCAAGTCTCTCATTTTGCAGCTCACTCTCATTCAGCCAAATGTTAAGGATAATAAACACAAAGGCTTACTTAGAAAATGGCTCTGATTTTCCTGTTGGGAAACCACTGCCGTGTGTACTGGTGTCCACTTTTCCACAGTGGACGGCCACGTGGACGTCTCTCTGTTCCACTATCCTCCAGTATTCTTGCTGCAATTTGTTTAAAAAAGGAAAAAGTGTTGACTAAGGAATGCATGAAGCCAGGATACTATGTGTAGGCCTACATTTAAGCGATGAATGGTTCCATTTAGCAGCTTGACATTCATTTTACCAACAGATACAGGTAAAATCTAACCACTAAATCCTGTTCACTTAACTTGCCTTGTTTCATGTAATGTTTTTGAAGGCTTACCTCAACCTCAGCAGCACCAGGTTCTTTATTAAAGCACATTGTCATGGTGTTCCGGGCTATCCTGAAGAAGTTGGTCAAGGACACCGATTTCCCCTGCAAAAAGAGACTAATTATCTATCGGAAGGGATAGTGTGTCACTTATGGGGAAAAACAAACCAAGGAGATGCTAACCAAAAGGAAAAAATATAATCAAAGATGAGTAAAGGAATGCTTTTATTCCAAACGTCATGTTTGCACAAGTCAAAGAATGGATAAAAAAAACTGTGGTTATGTTTACAGACGGATGTCCATTTTTGTCTGTTTAATGAGCATGTTGAAAGTATAAATCCGCCTGCAGAATACCTTCATCTAGTCTCACCCTTATGCTTAAATAAACCTTATATTCAGCTTTTGAGGTTTTCCAAATCTAATCTTAATATTCGAAATCCAAATTATAGTATAATAATAAACTTTCATTAAAAATAAAATGAGAAATGCTATCAATGCATTTAGAAACCATAGTTAAACTCCTGTCAGGCACTTTTTTATTTTGAGAATGAATAAAATGAAATCTTCAATTTAAAGACCCCTAAAATCAACAGCTACACATTAATAAGCTGACTTTATTGTATCATGTCTGCTGACAGGATTTTTTAGAAGAAAAAAAAGGTCAGATATGGGCGGATGAAGATACCAAAGGACTAGAAGTAAGGGTGGATAGAAATAAATGAAAAGAGATCCAGGATGGAGATGATTGAAGTTTGCTGCACTGTAAAAGTTAAAGCAAAGGTTATCTTCATGTGTGGAAGAACTGTTGATTTACCTTTACAAAACCAATAAATGTTTGCACATAGTGTGTAATCGGTCCTGCTGAAGAAGACTAACAATGACGGGTAGAGCTGCTAATGGCACACTTTGTGAGGGGAATGTTTTTTTTTTAACTGACCTACATTTCGAGAGCGGTGGGAATAGTGGGTCTATCTGTACACAATAACAGTGTGTACACTGTAGCCCTTAGAATGCGTAAAACTACAATGGGAGACTGAAGACTGGAAGCTATAGTTACCAGAGGTTTATATTCACTCATCGCCATGAATGCCATGAAAACTTAATGATATATTAGACCTTTTGCATTTGGGGTGAAATTATACCAAAACAGAAATAATCAAGAAATGGGAGCACAAGTTGGAATTTACTGTAGATTTTCTCTCATTTGCACAAAGTCAGTTAGACACACAGGTTCATATATCCACCCCACTATATCTGGTTAAGTGCCTCTTTGTAAGTTGCAAACAAACGACACACTTTTTGTAGCCATCAACAAGTCTGTGGAAGATTCTGGCTGGAGAGTTGACCACCTTTCTGTTGAAATTAGTTAGCACAGAGCCGTCTCTAACATAAACCCCACACAGAACCCCAATGCTAGTCTGGATTATCCAACCCAAACCATTTTTCAGTCAGAATCTAAATTTCTCAAACATATTGGGAACAATGAGCACTAAAGAGTTGTTAATCCTACATAGGCAGTCAGAAGGGTCCCATTTTTCATCCCATTCCCTATTTGGACCCCATGTCCACCTCAGATAAAAAGATTGCTAAGAATGACAATAAACTTACAAACCACTAGATATGAAGGTAACAGAAGGTGGAAATGTGTAGTTCTATGCCAAATTTGCTGCTGCCTATATAAACAGACCAAATGGCCTCTAGAGAAAAATTGTTAAGCTCATTTGAGACAAAGACTATGTTGTTAGATAAAACTGACATGAATCTATGGAGGATTTAGGAGAGGGACATTATAAAAACTGTAAAGCATAGTGGGTTCTATCAGGACAGTGATGTCAAATAAAATTTCAAACAGGTTTTGTGGTGGAAGAGGCAGTCTAGCATTAAGACTCTGTAGTGGTGCAGCAGTCATTTTTGGCGTTCACCCAAAAGTCAGGTGTGGCAGGAAAACAGTGAATTGAAATCAATTCTGCTAAGAAGGGAGGCCAGTTATTCAGCCTGAATTATATCACAAGCGAGCTGAGGCATATTATAAGCATGAGGTTACTCTGCAACTTACTCAGGGACATTTAACCAAATATCAGTGAATGCGTTTTGAACCTGTATTTGTAACTTTGAATCTTGGTGGATTAGAGAAAATTCTCTATAGATTGAAATATAGGAACAATATATGCCATTATAATGACTACTGGTTCTTAATTGTGCAGAACTTAAGTAGTCGCCATTATCTTTGTAGTAAAATAATGAGTCAGCATTGAGCCCGATTGAAACCCAATCAGAATGTGGGCCAACCATAGATTTCAGATTCATCAAATAACTCCAACTTGATATGGTCCTAATAACTGGAGCTTGATACCCCATTAATGAACGAATGCCTTAAACTTGTAGGATAAAACCTAAAAAGCACTGAAATGGGAGATGGTTAACAGTGTTATGATCCCGTATGTCGCATTTCTTGCCCGTTGACGAAACCAAACCTCTGACGAGTAATGCAGGGATATTAGATAACAGCAGCACTTCAGCTGCTCCTCCCTGATGAAGAATTCAGTAAAGACAAAAAGACAGGCAGGTAAAGTATAAAACTCAGACAGAAAATGCAGTTTTATCACAGTGACTTTCTGTTTTCCTATCTGTCAGGGTGTGTACGAGACCAAAAGCGAGGTTGGTCGTTAAAGTGGGAGGGTCAATGAAGTCTTGGCCCCCGGACTTCCAAGGTCAACGTTTTTGCTTAATAAAGCGTCTCATTGTGTCAGTACACACACTTTGTACTGTTCAGAGATTAATTTTGTGGCCAAAACCGACCGGATATTAGCTACAATAACGCAAATGTGTATTTCAGCTGGCTACAAGTTACACAAGAGAAACCTTAAGGCTGTGGCAGTAAGGAAGCAAGATTCACAGATGCTTCCATGCTGCACTGCTACTGATGACAAACCAACAAACGACCCCTTAAATGACAATAAGAGTTGTTATCTGCATTTAGGAGAAAGAACAGCAGAATTGTTAAAAAGATGCTCTTCCATGCCTCTTTTCTATATGATGCTGTGGAATGAAAGGAGAGCATTGTTTCCATCCTCACCTTGTAAATACATTTGTACTGGTCACTGAGAATGCCCCTTTCGTCCTCCACCTGCTGCTCTCCATTCTGCCTGTCTTCTTTGCCTTGTTTTTCCTGAGCGAAGAGCCGGCGCCGGCCCGCTTTGACCTGAGCCTCCAGCTCCTTCAGACATTTCAGACGGTGATACACTCCGTTGGTGCGGTGGTTCCCGGGCGTCCCTCCGACGATCCCGCCCACTAGCCCATTTTTGGGCTCATAACGTGGCAAAGCGTGAGCAGCAGAATCCGAGAGGCCTTCCAAGGGGCCCTGCCGGGACTCCAGGTTCTTTTTCTCTTGCAGCACATCGCCCAGAAGCCGGAGTCGCTCCTCAGCACTAAGAGAGTCATAGGAGAGGATGTACTGGAGGTACGCCTCCTGCAGCTTGGCCAGCCGATCCTGCGCTGACTTGGGGATGCGCAGGAGGTCAGCGAGCTTGGTCCATTTCTTCAGGTCCATCACCTGCTGCATGCCACCCATGTCATTGATGAGCTGGAAAAAACGTGACAGGTCCACTTCACAGCCACCTGCATAAGGGGAAAAAAAAAATTAGGTTAGCATGAAATCTAGCGGCACGTTTGCGGAACTATTAGCCTTCTTTAGCTAAAATAAATCTAGCATTCATAGTAAAATTTCTCCTCCTCTCAAACATGCCAATGAAATTAGTAATTATTGACAGTTATTTTTAATTATTTTTTTCACAAAAAACTTTTATGCAACCACCACCACTCATTAAATTGAAGTTTAGTACGACATTTCAGCTGCACTTATCAAAACCAGAAACTACAAAATCTCGCCTTTGTAAGCAGAAAAACAACTAAACAATCAATGGAGTGCAAAACTTGCTAGTTTCAGACATATTTAGAGAGAAAGCAGACACATACTTTGAATGTTATTTTGTGAATTGGAGTGAAATCAAACATTCTGCAGTGAATCATGTATAAAAGCCCCATATTAAGGAAGGAAGCTGGATAAAGTTCTGCATGCTCATAATAGCAAGATCAATTTCCTTTAAGTAATACATTTCTGTGCCTGGTTGTTAAGGATGCTATTGTTGTTCAGAATGAAAAATTATAACATAACATGGTTTAACTGAATTTGATTATGATGCATAATATTAGTCTAATGGCTCTGGGACAATAAATGCACCAAAGATATTAACTCTTGACTGACTGTTTCCCTTCAGGCACCGCAGCACACTATAAAATGACTCAAAGTTTAAAAGTTAGATTTAAAATGAAGTCACCAGTGTTCTAGATATCCAAGGAGCCATTTCTAAAAACTATACATACAGCAACATTACAGGGATTTATTAAGGCTACGGAAGAGTGAGCTTTTATCTTCTGTCAGGAAATGGGATGGATTTGAAACCCTTACATTAAGATAAAGGATTAGACATTCTCCACGGAATATATATGAAGATATATGGTTTATAGTCGATAAAGCTAACAATTCTAATGATCCTAACAGTTTAGAGCTGCAATAGACAATTTGTCAATTGGGAAATACTGATATCTTAATATCGTCCTTCTCTTCAACACCATATGCTGCCTGCACCCCATTGACAGACGTTAAAAACCTACTTTATGCAAAACAACTTGAAAATAATATACGTTTTTTTCTTTGTTGTTCATAATGAGAAATATGAAGAGATTATTTCTGCCAACATTGGCCAAATAAGCCTTTTTGGTGCATCTCTACATTTTTGACAAATTGACAATCACCTCTTTTTTCCACATTAACTTTGCCTGGCTAGCTAAGACTTCTATAAAATGTTGTTTGTTAACATATACAATAAATAAAGCCAACTCAGCGCCATCTTTACTGTGTTCCCGCTGGTTATGAATCCAAACCGAAATCCAATCAACTTAATATAAGGTTCAAACATGCACTCTCTGCTAAAAACAGTAGCATCAGACCCAGCTTCCACATTGTCAGTTCACATCATCTTACATCACTATGTTTGGCTAATTCACACTCAAGAAAAAGAAAAAAGAAAAAAGCTGTGTCACAATGTGTCACAATGCCAAAAAGCTATGTAAACGGCTCTAGATGCTGAACTGGTACATTGGCAATGCTACAGGAAGTCATTGGGAAGCAAGATGTTTTGGTTGGTGGAAGACACTCAAATGCGTCCTAATGGGTGCCAGTTCTCTCTCTCTAGCTAACAGCTGCAAAAAAAACTCAATAAACTGAGCTAATTTAAACTAAGCTCTATATAAATGGCACAACACACTCTAGTAAAAAAAGAAAATAAAGCATGTATAGAAACAGCTGTTGAATTTTTTTTTATAGGTAATGTAAAGTCTGGTTTCATTGGACATATTTTCTTGTAGAAATGTTGCATATTGTTATTGTCTACTATAAACTGCAACCTGAAAGCTGATGGAACCACAAAAACGCTCACCAGATTCAAACAATAGGCAACTCCAAATGCTGAGCAGCTGAAAAACTGGTAGATTGCTTATTATCAAGATTCTTTGTTTTATTTTGTACTTAAATACAATCTTCTTTAATAATTAAATTTAAAAAAGGCAATATGTTCACTTTTTAGAGAACACGGTCATGGTCTAACTCACTTCTATAGAATCAACAGCTCATCTCCTATTCGGCTATCTGCAGGGGATGTTTGCTCCTTAATGCTAAAAAATTGACAACATGTGCTTTCCTGATTATAACTCAATCCAAAACCCTTTTATCAATCTTAATGGGATGGCCTTACTTACCAATGACAGGTGGCTCATCCATGGTAATGCCCTGAGATTTAAGATGCTTGCGGATGCAAGCCAACCGCTGCACATTTGGGCCCCAGCGTCGACCCAGCATGTGGACCCTCTGCACCTGTGTAACGAAGCGCATCTCCTCATTCAATTTGCACTCTGGCCGCCAGTCCTGTGGTGGCACCACCCGGCACATGCCAGCCACTTCTGCCTGCTCCCTCACTGCATCCAAGTATACCAGAGGGTCCTGAAACTCCCTCTGAGCTGGCCGGAAGACAGGCACATCGCCCAACGCCGCCCAGCCCTCTGCCTTGCTCCGCTGGCGCTCCCGCTCCTTCTCCTGCTCACGTTCCTTTTGCCGTGTCAGCTCTTTCTCACGCTCCCACTCCTTGTCCCGGTCTGCAAGCCGCAATGCTGCTGGTTTGATCTGCCCTGGCGGGTTGGTGGAAGGAAGAGAGGATGAGTTGTTGCAGGAGGAGGGGGAGGAGACAAAGGTTTGTTGAGGGTCTGAGGTAGTGCTGGCTCGACTTGGGTTTGGTGCGGTATTGTGTCCTACTGAGGGGGAGGATGAGGAGCTCCGACTATGCGACCTGCTTTGCTGCTGCTGTGCTTGTCGTATCAACATCAGTTTGCCAGCTGATGCACGCTTGGGTCGCTGGTTCACGGGCTCCACATTGGCTGCTGGTGTAGTAGGAGGTGGTGATTGTTGAGGGGTAGGAGTAGTGGCTGGAAGTGGAGTAGCAAGTTGAGTCTGTTTAGGGGGGGTAGGTTTCTCTGAATCGTGTCCATTAGAAACCGGAGTGGTAGGGTTGCCTTTCTGTTTTGCCGCTTTCTCTTCATTGGCCAACTTCTTACTGCTGCTACGCGTCTCCAATGGTGTAGGCTGAAGCTTGGCCTTTTTGGCCTCAGAGCCACTTATTTTGGCTTTCTGAGCAACAACCCCTGTACTCACAGAGTTAAGCACCACCTCCAGGCGGCGCTTGGAGTTTCGCAGTCCTTCTCGACCCGGGCACTCTCCGTGGCCTTGCTGGCACTGTTTCTGTCCTTCCTCCTTGGCCGAGGCGTTGTGCCATTGCCCGTTCAGCTTGCCGTTGGGTCTGCCATTGGCCGCCGCTTTGTGCAGCCCGTTGGATAGTAGCACCTGTTTGCGGGTTTTTGCATTGCTGTGGTGGGCTGGTGCCGCTGCTTTTCCTGAGTTGGCCAGTCTACTGCTGGCTGCTGGCTGGCTGTGCTGATTTTGATTGTTCGCTGACGATGATGCCGAGGCGGCGCTGTTGTGTTTGTTGCTGCTGCTGAGTTTGGTTTTCTTGCCCAGTTCTTTCTGTTTGGCTTTGGTGTATGTGACGTGGCCCTTGGACACGGTGGCTGTGTACTTCTTCACAGTTTTGGACGGCAGTCGTAAGTCGTGGTTCTTTTTGGCACCACTGACAGCTTGTGCCGAGCTAGCGCGCGTCATCCCATTCACTTTTGAGACCTAAGATGGATGGAAAGGAAAGCAAAAAGATTAGCTGAGCATTAGGGAGTTTTTTTTTTCTTTTTTCAAAAATTAAGGTACTGTTAGTCTGAATAAGCAATTTCTTTGTTATAGGGCAAATAATTAAGGTCACCTAGATTAAAATAGAACTGCACAGACATAGAAATGCAAACACCGATATTATTTTCCTAAATTACAACTGTAGGAACATCGGTTTTCACAATGAAGAAACTCTCAGTTTTATCTGCATATTGATATGTTTGGTTGATCAGATCAAGATATTTATGGTAAGCTCTTTTCGGCAAACAAAGTCTGAAATAAATCAAATCGGCTGTTGTATTCCCCCATTTACTGTCAATTTTATGATTTATACAACGACAAATCCAAAGCACGAGAGGATAAAAATTGTTTAGAGACAACACAGAAAGGACATGGCAAACATGAACTGAGAAACAGGTTTTTTGACAAACAGATGGTCAGACAGGATGAGGTGGGAGGTGGGGTCATTGGAATTGGGTAAATTCCCATTTGGCTGCACAAAAATAGCCTTTTACTTCCTTTGCTTGAATGTGTGTTTGAAAGTGCCTGAATGAGAGTTTGGGGAATAAAAATGATTGTCCTGTTCCATGTTCAGAGAATGTTATAGGTAGCTTATGTCCAGTCTGGATGAAGGGAAAAGAGGTTGGAATTGCCCCAAAGAGCCACTTCTACCCTGCTGGTTTTGTTAGTTTTTTTTTTTTTCTCTCATCTTCCTTCTATATAAAACCTTAGGCATAATTCCCCCTTTTTTTTCTTTTTCTTTTTTTTTTTTAACATGGCTTTCCTGTCAACTCTGGGTTTTCCTTTCTTTCACCCTTTTACGATTCAATTACATTGTATGAACAAGTCGTAAGAACTTTGATATTTTTAATTGTGTTGATAAAACCAAGTATTAGTCGTAAACCATTTTGTATAGTTGAACTAGCCTTTTCAGACGAGCTCCTGCTTGCCTCCAAGTCCTGGAAGCATACAGTTCCTAAAGAGAAGAAATTTTGCAGGAAATAACCCACTCTACAAAATGAAAGGTACTCTGCAGCCTGCCCTTGTTCCTGGTGGTGGCAGCAGCGTACCAGATGATTTCAGAGGAGGAGATGATAGACTTAATGATGGTCGAGTAGAAATGCGCCATCAACATCTTTGGCCTTTCACATTTGTTTTAATGACTTACAGTTAATTAATACTTTGAAGTTTATTTACATTTTATGCAGATGATATTGAGCTAAAGTTAATTTGTTTTGTTTTTCCGTTTTATACTATATATGATTTGTTCAGAGCCATTTTGACTCCAGTAATGCTTATTATTAATAATTAACCAATAGAAACACAATTTGTAGGTTGCCCTGTGACTAGAATACTGCAAAAGAAACTTTGCCAGATTATTTTTCTAGACCTAATACTTAGTAAGAATACTTTGGAAACAAACAAAAAAAAGAAGAAAAGTTTATGAGTCTTTGCAAATAGTCTATAATGTCTTTATGTAGCGCTGCTTAGACAAGTCTGAGCAGAAGGATGAGGGGTAAGATGGAGTTATCAATCACAGCTGCGGCGCCACAGGAGGTAAGCTACAGATAGGCACTTTGACAGGTTATCCTTTGAAAAGCTCCTACGTTGCACTCAAATGTGTGTGTGTGTGTGTGCACGAACGAATATGTATTGTATTGTGTTCGTCTCAGGTGGCAGGGGCCAACACAAAGACTGGGCCATTAAAAGATAAGGGCGAGCTGAAACCTAACCCACCTCCGTCAATCAGTTCCCCCTCCTCCTAACACACATGCACACAATGGATGAGAAAGAAAGGGTGAAAAGGAAAGAGGAAAGACGACAGGAGTGCTTAAAAAGGTGTGAGATGAAGGTTGAAAAATCTAAACAGAGGATATGATTTATCAGCATTCTGAATTAGTATCTAATAGATTAGCCTGATATTTTGGAAAATGTTTTATGGAATAGATACAAAACCAAATTTTTATTTCTATTTCTGGTATTTATATTGAAAGCACTGAACCGCTACCTGTTCGGAACACCCTTTAAGTAACAAGCTACAGTTTATTGACAAATCAGAGGGACACTGCCAGTTCTACTTGCCACCACAAGGTGGCTCAGTAGACCTGTTCTGATCAGGTCTAGCAGCTCTCTGTTTTCTCTCTGTAATTATAGTGTCTGGCAAATAAGGAGGAAAGGGAGGTAGGTATGAAAGCATGAAAATGAGGAAACAAAGCAGCACATAAAGGACACAAAGCAATATAAATCTTGGACTCAGAGAGACAGCAAGGCCAAGACAAGAGTAAAAAGAAAGATCTATGAACAAACTGGAGCAGAAAGGATTTTGGGCTGCATGTGAGAGGCAGAGAGAAGAAGGGGGGTGGGTCTAAATGACATCATGTGTTGCTATAGCCCAGCTGAGGGCTTATAGGAAGATTTTTTTTATAGCCAACATCTGCAGGAGTTGGCCCAAAGAGGAGGAGCAGACGGAGGGGATGCATAGAGAAGGGTGAGGAGAGAAAGCCAGACAGAATAGAAAAAGAAAAGAAATTCAACCATGGAAATGAGGGAAGCTCAACATTAAAATGTTATCTCCTTAGAAACTCCTACATGTTTCTGTAGGTGACAACATTTTGCAGATCAAGTTTGTGTCTCTTACTAATGTTAATTAGTTATACTGTGTTTGAATGTTTTTGGTCTTCTAACTTTCATGCAATTCTCAATGAATCATTTGTTTGAATCAAGGATTTCTGAATAAAAATACCAAAAAGTCAAATAATGTAAAAAGTTCCAAGTTTCAATAGATAAAATGAATAAAAAAACAAGCCAGTGCTAATAAGGATATTTAATGTGGTGCATTATTTTGGTCTGTCCCTCTTCAATGTCTGTTTTAATGGCAGTTTTGCTCAACATTTCCTTTTTGATGATCTGGTTACTGTAATACCGATCGTTGGAAAGGCTTTATTACTGCTTGAAATTTTGGAAGCGTGTAGCATTACAAACAAACTTTAATTCATTTAAAAATGTATTTGATAGACAAAAATCAAAGTAGCACATAATTGTCAGAGTAACTGAACCAATAATTAATAATAACGGCATACCTGTATGTGAGCAGGTCACTGTACACACTGGATCTGTTTTAATCTTCAACATGTAGCTTCCAAAGGTTTCAAGTTCACATGTTTCTAGATAATAGTGTAAAAAATGCCATCTGCCTTGAAACTTTATATTTTGACAGTCAAATGAATATGGTGGTTTTTCTATTCATTATGTGCGGCGGTTAATGTTTAAAGCAGTTATGCTCGTTTGGACGGTGATTGGATTTTTCTTTTCTTTTTTTGCTAAACAGATTTTTTGATGCACTTTAAAACTTTTTCTACAGTAAAATCAAAAGCTTTCATGCACACACACCAGAGGAGCATGATTATAGGAAATCCAGCCACTGAAATGCGATTGCCTATATTATCTATGCAAAAAGTATTCAATTGTTATCGTTCTTTTCGTTCTCCTTTGTCCATAAATTTTTCTAACGCTAATCTTCGCTATCATTTGCACCATCATCTGTATGAGGTGTCTGCATCTACTGCTGTATGACATCTACAAAAGGAGGCCAACTACCTCCCTAGCAAGCAAAGAGCTAAATCATGTAATTTTAATATTCTACCCAACAAAAACAAGATCTCACAGAAAGCCTTTTTGTGCTATCAAAATTTCACACAATGATATAGCAATTATATGCATCTGAAAACAGAAATTAGAATAAACTGCATAAAAAGAAAATTATTTAATGCTCTCTTTAAAATAAAAAGTTTACATACACCAAGTAAGGCGATTAAGAACATTTGATGTTAAATGGACCTCAAACATACTGCTTCCTTGTGTGAAGCGATACAGAACCCCATGACATCCAGCTAATTGTAAGTCAACATATAATCAAAGAAGTTATGAAGAATTTTCATGAAGGAAGAAAAGTTGGTGTTGGTTTAACCTTTGGTATCTCTGAGCCTGTATTTTCACAGTTCATGGTGTGTAAAAATATTGGTATGTGTTTTTAATTCACATGATCAACATGATTAGTATTCATGCTCATTTAGGGAGGGCAGCAAGTGGTGATGAGGGAAGACAGAGGAGGTAGGGAGAGATGAATTAGAGAATACGGAGTAAAATAAATCAAAAGATCACTTGGGTGCCAACAGGCTGCTAGGAACAGAGTAGAAAGTTTTTCTTGGCAGGAAGTCGCTCTCATTAAGATTCATTGCTGCTCTTACTGGACAATACCAACCACTTTAAAACATAAACCACGAGTCCGAGTGTGCATTAGCAGCTGCACTATGAAACAGTGGACACCACCGGATGAAGACAGGCGTTTAAAAGGCTGGGAAATCATAATGCAGAAGGTGGAGAGGAGAAAAAAGGCGAGCCAAAACAAAGAGCCTTAGCAGACAGTTGCTTTTAATTAGCCAATGTGATGAGACAACGCCGTTTTTTTTGGACCAAGGCTTTCGTTAGGCCTTTTTCTGCATTTTCACTTTGTGGGGTTCCTTGAAACCCGCTAAGTGCCATGGAGAGGGGAGGCAGGATTTTCACAGCTCTTTGCCAGAGCTACTAAATATAGCCGCAGTCGCGGGAGGCCAAAACACAATCATTACTCTCTCAGACACAATGGATGGAGGAGAGAAGGAGGAGAAAAAAAGGAGAGGAGGCGGAAGAGAGGGTGGGATAGAACATGCAGAAAAAGAAGGAAGAGACAGAGCCAAGGAAGAAGGAAGGAAGAGCTGGACTAAATCACAAAGGGAGATGAACGGAGCATGTAGCAGATGGGAGGATAAAAGAAATTAGGAGCTGCTGACAAAAAAAAAAAAACCTCTGATGATTGTGGTCAGGTGTGCCTCAATAAATCTAAATATGGTCAACAACTAAATAATTCAGCTGAAACGCATAAGATTTAGATTTAAATGAGTGAAGTTTTTCGTTGTTGTTTAGGAAAGTTATACCAGAATACAATATCCCATTTGAATAAGAAATTTGAATAAAAAAAAAAACTATTATTTTACTCTAATATCTTCAAATTTCGCACCTCTAAGTAATAAGATAAAAAAGCAACATTTTTACAAAATTAACAAAGAGGTCTCAGTTTTCAGAAGAGGGGTCTGCAAACACATCCAAAACCTTAAAGTGAAAAAGTCTCCCACGTTTTATTGGATTCAAAATAAAGTTTATCATATTCATATTTAACTCTCTCATCAACCAAAGTGTGATATAGGTCTTTCTTTCAAATATCACAAGCATGTTGCATCCAATTGGGATAAATTCGGTCCATTCTTGAACCATAGCTGAGGCCCTACAAGCTGTATTTGGAACATTTTGCATGATATCAATTTAGATACAAACAGAAAAATTGTGATGGCAATGATTTACTTTTTAACTATTGACCAGTAGACAACCAGGGCTAAAAGAGCCCGACTGTTGAACACTGATAAATAGTCATATTTTCTGATTAAATGAAAATTGTCTCATGAAAAGTTTAGTTGAACTAAAATAAACTCATAGATAAATATATACTAAATAAATATACTAGATAAATATATCTAGTTTATATTTAAGCTGAAAAAAGTAAACTTTTTGTTTATTCTCAAGTTTTGGGAAGCAGCAGTATCACAAAGTTCTACCCTTTTCCAGGTCAAACAGTCTGCGTCAAACTGATAAGACCGCCATGTCTACCGTCCTGTTAGATCCATCTCAGGTAGAAGCATCAATGCTTTCATCTAAACTACCTGCATCCGTAGCTCCTCCACCGCTCTCCTCGACTGCAGCCCGTTGGCGGTGCCTCGACTGCTAGCCAAGGCCTGCAGCTCCCTTGCGTGCTCCCGAGCCTCCGCCCGCTCGCTGCGCTCCCTCAGAAGAGGTGGAGGTGGCGGTGGAGGAGGCGGGAGTGGAGGAGCGGGGGTGTCCCTGCTGTGTGTACCCGCCTTCGGCCTCGGACTCTCCCTGGTCCCCGCTTTGCTGTGGTTGTTAAAAACTGGAAAGTAATTGAGAAATAACTGATCAGTGGTGTTTCTTTAAGCATTTCTAGCTAATTAAATTGCTAATAATGTTCAAAATAAAGACATTGATTTATTGGTAAATAAAGAGGCATGAGTGAACGAACATGAAGAGACCTGGAGTTTAACCAGAACTCTTCTAGGAGTGCAGCAACAGGACAAACTCTTTCAAATCGTTTCAGTTTATTTTCTAAGGCTCCAATTAAAGACAGAGGTCAGCTCAAGGCACTGAGGTTCCGATTAGGTTCGATATGAGTCCAAATCCATCCAGTCGAATTCAGTTCAACCCAATAGAACACATTTTTGATTCAATTTGCTTGAATCCAATTCCATATAATTGCATTTCTATTAGCAGCCTTGCAGAAGCAAGGCAGACCAACGGATTGCATCGAACGCTTTATTCGATTCAATCCCCCATCCTGAGCTTGCACTGAGAAACAGGCAATAGAGAATCAAGATGAAACACTCCCTTTTAACAGGAAGACACCTCCAGCAGAACCACACTCAGGGTAGGCAGCCATCTGCTTTTGACCAGTTGGGGGGTTTGGAGGGCAGGAGAGACACAAACAAAAACAAAAACTCTACGGCTGGGATACCTGCTAGAAGAAATGACAAAGTTAATGATAGAAACAACAAGGTAGAAATACATTCAGCACATAGAGAGCAGAATTAAGGCTACGGTGCCGAGTAGAAATCTGCCAGCTCTCTAACACTGTTACAGCAGAACTAAAGTATCCCTGAGTGAGCAGCAAATATAATCTTTGCACTAAATGAATGTTTTAAACCTCGCTTTAAAGGTAACAGAGGTTACAGCCCCCAGATGCTTTGATAGGAGATGTTTTAACAAGAAAGATGCCAAAAGGCTAAAGGAACCGATTTTTTCTACATCTGAGATTTTTAGGAAGTGAAAATCAGCAAAGAGCAGTTAGACTAAGCAGAAACTCTTTGCTGCCTTTAGAGCAGGAAGTTTTTCACCATCAAGCGATCTACAGGTTTTCTTCCAGAATGACATTAAGTTATAATTCAATTCAGTTTATTTATATAGCGCCAATTCATAACACGTCATCTCAAGGCACTTTACAATTCAACCAGATCATACAGTCAAAGTGATTCGAGGTTTTCTATAAGGATATAATAGAAACAATCTTCACACTACTTTATCAGCTGGAGAAAGGTATCGCTGCAGCATGATGCTGCCACCGCCATGCTTCATGGAGATCATTATTAGCAAGTTGTGTAGTTTTTTTTTCCCCAGCAGTGAGAGATTTGGGCCAAAGGTCTTTTTTTTTTATACCAAAATCATCTTATTCACAGGAAGAAGGACATCTTATCAAGAACCAAGATTATAGTTAATACACTCCTGTATTTTAGTCAGAGTCACCAAAACAGCTGCTTAGAGCAGGATGCCAAATTTCATTTGCATTAAAACGTTGTTGTTTTTTTTATCAATATAATAATTCTGCACAACTATGTGACGGTCTTTCACATAAAATCCAAAAATGCAAAAGAAACAAAGCGGTTTGGATTACTAAATGCTACTGGCTCAACAAGAGGATTCTTAAAGATCCACTTGGGGATAAAAATGAACAGGCCTTAAAATGATGTGTTAGAGCACTTCTAATCTCTTAAAACAAGAAGAGCTAGAAATTCAACAGGCCAGAAAAAGTTTGTTTAAAAAGCTCCAATTGCCTTCTAGCATCTGTAAAGATATTGTCCCTTTAAAACCAGGTGGAGTGAGTAAAACTAGCAAAGTCAAATCAATTTAATCCAAAAAGGGGGCTGGTGGAAAGTTCCATAAGCAAGAATGTCATTAATGCTAAACTTTAGATTTCTTCAATCAAAGTTTTTAACCTTCAGCACCAAGTGGAATAATTATTTCTAAGAATAAGTGTGGCAACATTTAAGCAAAGAATAACTCTGATTTACAGAGTGCATGAAGAGGTCTTTATGCTGCTCATCAATGAACATATTTCAGATGGGTCCTGTAGGTAATGTTACATACACCTTAAATGAGCATTTTTCCAGCTTTCATTTCAGGATTCTGTGAGCCTTTGGAAGTGAAACTGTACAGAGAGCGTACAGTGCATGCGTGCATTCACTCCTAAATACCTGCGAGCGTCTGGAGGTCTCTTGGAGCCCCTGGTGTGATGAAAGAAGAGACAGATCTGGACATTTTAAGAGGTAAGCTCAGCAAAAAACGCCGTGACCATTAAAAGCTGTTTGACTCAGCCGAGTCAACATGGCGGAAGGCCAAAAAGAAAAAAAAGCAGTAGGAACACTAATCGCTGATGAATGACCTACAATATAAAGCATTTCCTGTCTCCCACTCCCTCCCTGAATGAAACATCCCTCAAGCTTTCACCAACCATTCCTCCATTTGCACCTTCCTCTTTTTGGCCTCTTCCTCCTCACCCTAGGAGACCATACAAGCGCTCCTGTTGGAAAGCAGCCCAAGCTACATATTAACCTGTCCCGTTTGACACAAATACTAATTCAGCAAAATGTACATAAAGCTGTAGCTCGTTAAATGCCGTAATCTCTTGGGCAAACAATGTCCATTTCAGTGTCCTTAACTTCACTCATCTCTATTGTCGCCAACAAAGCATATCTGCGTGTTTTCCTCCTTATCTATTTATTTAGCATATCACAGGGAAGGCGCCAAGTTGCTTTGCAAACAGTCTTTGTGCGCACGATAAGAGAAAGAGAAGAAGCTGTTCTCGTTTGAGGAGCAAGCCTGGATTCGTTCACGGAGGTTTTAGTGGCCTGTTTGCTCTTCATGTACCGTTTTGTTTTAAGGCAGCAGCTACATGTGTTCTAGGAATTCTGTATGCATCCGAGTGACAAGGCAGAATCTGGGTCTCTGAGAGTTTAAACACACATCCCCCTAAAGGCGTTTTCACCTCTTTCTTAGACCCATAAATCTTTTTGCAGACAACACCTCTACATTCCAGTAGAGGATGACCAACAAGGGACGGGGGAGGTAGAGGATTTAACTTTTACACACTAAAGGAAGGAAATACAGAGTTAGGCCCTCATTTCATTGAACACATTAGATCACATCAGAACCTTATGGTTCTCTTAAAAAAAACACACTAATAAAAGACCTGGCAGGATACTGCATTCACCAAAAAAAGTGCGATGAAAGCACGAAATGAAGCAGCACTGCCCCTCCTGCACATATTTCTCCACTCAGCTCACTTTTCTCATATTAGCAAATAGGGCGCATCAATTATGTGAAAATATTTATGGTTGCCAACACCATAAGCCACCAATTCAACCTACAAACTGACCTGAAAACCAAATCATTAAAAAGAAAGCATAGATTTGCCTATACTGAATTGTCTAAATGCCTTGCTGCATGTGTGCATTCATCTGAATGCCAGCAATGCCCCCTAGGGGTGTACATATGCTGGAAGTGGGTAGCATGTGAGTGTCTGGGGTCCTGACCAGCTGTTGCAGTGTGTGCATAAACACCTTGTTAGGGCTTAGTGAGATAAGTGTTAATTGGGGTGGAAAGAATTGATGCACTGCTCCGCAGCTCTATGCAGCATGCTTCTTGTCTCCACGGTTCAAAGCAGAAGTGCAAACGCATATCTGCTTACATGTACAGACTAACATATGCACACAAATGAGGACAGGAACTACACATCAGTTGTTAGTCCATCTACGATCCACTGTGTGCTTCTGAACTCTGGGGTCAGCTCTAGTTATTCCTGAGGTGTATAATCCTTTGCCTAGGTTGCTCTCTCCACTTTTCTTTATCTGCATTTTATCCTCCAGCTCTTCTCCACCTGCATCCCTCTAGTCTGACTCTCCTTCATTAACTCCTCTCACCAGGATCTCTGTGGTACATTGCACTAACTAAAAACATGCAGCCCGGTATGTGAGCTGAACATTTTGTTAGGCATAATCTACGTGGCGCGCTTCGTTCCGAGCTCCAGTTCTGGCCCTTACCGTGCCCGTTGAGCGGCTGCCTGGCAGGGAGTTTGCCCTTGCGAGGTGTAGAGTTGCAAGAGGAGGAGGTCGAGGCTTGGCTGCTGCCTCCCGCACCATGTGTGTGGACTCCTGTGCCGTTCCGCACCTCCTCCTCCTCCTCCTCCTCTTCTTCCTCCTCCTCCAGGTCCTCTTCCTCCTGGGAGCTTCCAAAGTAGGCCATATTACTGGGCAAGGCAGTAGAACCTGTGCACAGAGAAGCAGAAGGTAAAAAATATAAGAGGGATTCCTGATTTTTTTTAATGCAACAAAAATAGACACAATAACGTTTTATTTCATAGCAAATAACTGAACAGATGGAGCAGTTATAGAGACAGACTGACAGAAAACAAATCATATATTCTGGCACTTTTCAAAATTGCTGTATTCCTGTTCAATAAGCAATACACCTAAGCTTGCATTTAAATACATTTGTGTACATGATAAAGGCCAAAAACAACATGGCAGCAGCGCATGTTAACATCAGATATCCAGATTTCAGCCACGGCTTTAGGGGTCGCCATCATCCTCATACTACTTCCCGTCTTCTTTTATACAAGACACTAATGTTCAGCCACAGATATTGTGATGTGAAAAAAAAAAGGGTCAAAGTGTAAAAACTTGAGTTATTTTAAAAATTGCAGTGTTTCCATTCAGCAAAATGAAATTACAACTTCCAAACTTTTATGGTAAAAGAAAGGTACTGATGGATGGAGGTGTGGACTACTGGGAGAGGGAAAAAAAGGAATAGATTGAAGGAGAAATATTATGAATAAAAAGGTGGACAGATTGAATGGAATGGATAAACTAATGGATGAATGGATGGACAAATCAAAGAACGGATTATTGGATGTTTTTTTGGACAGAAAAAAACCCCAGGTGAAATTAAAAAAGGGAACATCTGGAGGGACAAATCACATCTAGACACTTGTTTTCATGCTTAGTAAGTTAAACCATATTTATCAAATTTGAACAGCAGCATCTGCAAGAGCTCAGAGAGAGAAACTGAAAATCTCCCTTAAAAAAGATTTAGCCAAAATGTTAAACATGATGCAGCTGTTAGTATATTAAAAGGCATCCCTTTAGATTGTAATCTGAAATCTTCCAAATGGATCAACATCAGTATTGAATATTACCATAAAAATAAGTCCCTCACAGGCTAAAGTGTAATGCTGATTGTGCTGCTGTTTTTAATCTGTTATTATCCCGGCTGGTGGCCCATTGATGCTCCCCCAGCCGCTCGGAACGGAGCAGCACCATTGTTACACTCACAGTTAAATGCACAAACATAATCAAGGACGTGAACGACACAATGTTAGACTGATGACAGCTCTATTGTTTCTGAATATGCCGGCACAGCTAACACCTTCCAATCTGCTGCTGATAAGCTGCATTTGAAGAATTTACATTTCTAATTTGACACTCACAGCACCTATTGTTTCTGCTGTTTTTTTTTTCTTGCATTTTAGTTGAACCAACTTGCTTTTTGAACAAAGCTGAACTGCAATAAAAAGCAATTCAACCCAATGCAGAGCAGAGGGAAAAGGAGAACACATTTCTACTGATAGCTGGGATTGGATCCAGAGCACCGGTAGTACGCAATAAGCCGTCTCTTTCTACAGAGGCTCCAGCGTTTTGACAGTTCTGAGACATACATTACGTACATGTGCTCACATTACTTGTGAAAGTCTCTTGCTGCAGAGCCAATCCCAAATCTGTCTCTTTCACTCTTCCAAACAGGATTACGGTCAATTACCAAGCCTATTGGAAAAGAAAGCCGATGTTCCCCCTCTTTCCTCTTTGTGTCATAGCCCATAACTTTCCCTGTCGTCTCTCACAAATAAATCTCTGTATGAGAAAAGAGGTGAATTGTTTTGGCAGCAGATGGCCTCCTATGTTACCCCACTTAGCCCCAAACAAAAGGTCACACCTCCAACAGAACTCATATAGTTGGACCAATTATTCAGTGGGCAAACAACATTTTTTTGTAAATTTCACTCGTCTAACTTACCATTTATGTTCAATTCAATTCAGTTTATTTATATGGTGCCAATTCCCGAGGCACTTTACAATTCAAATTGATCATACAGTCAAATTGATTCAAAAGGAAAACCAGTGGATTGAATCGATTCATTGACTCCAATGCAATCCCTCACACTAGGCATGCTTGTAGTGACAGTGGAGAGAAAAAACCTCCAGCAGAACCATACATAGTGTTAGTGAGGCCACCTGGGATTCAAGGAGAGAGAAGCAGTCATACACTAAAAAGCAGGGACACAAAAGGCAACTGTATACCAGCTCCACAGGCGGCCCCATCCTGTCGATGCATATATGAGCTACTTATATATATAATTTCACCCATCAAGAGGGAACATTTTTATTATTTTTTTTTAAGGGATTGATATCCATTTAAGATCATCTAAAAAAATCTATTCTAATGGGAGGAAAGTAAAATAAAATAGACATAAAAGACCACAACACAGACCCTCCTCAGCTACACATTCTCTTTTTAGGAAATCTTAAAACAAGTTATTTTCTGTAAGTAATGAAATCTGATTATAGTCCTAAAGATTAACAAAAATGACGCTTAAGACGTTAAGAAGAATTTCAATATAATGGCGTCCTTCAGGCTTTTATGACCCGTGCAATAAAAGGGGAGACAAGCATGAGAAAATGGGAGAGGAAAACAGAGCACCAGAGTTCATGTCAGACTCTGTACAGGACATCTATTGTTTTCAATGCTTACCAAGTTTAACAAACATTAAAGACGAATACAGAAAAAAATAAAGCTTTACAAAAAATTGACTAGAAGCAACAAAGATAAAACAAAACATCTACTGGCAGGTCAAAAACATTGTAACTCCTTTGCCTCACATGAGTCCAATGCTCCTGCAGATGACTTCCACAAAAAAAACTATTGTAAAAAACACTGAAAGGTTAGAAAAAGAGAAGCGTCTTACTTTAAGATAATTGATAAAATAAAAGCTAAATCACAGATTCCAAGTTTATTTCTCATGCTGCCGCTTATTTACATGATAACACGCACAAAAAAGATAATGGTTGACATATAAGGAACTCCATCAGAGGTTTCTATTAAAATAAAAAAAAACAGCAAAACAAAAGAGTCTTCCCTGCTTTCTAATTTAATAACTACTCGTTTGTGATTGCTGATTGGTATTTCCCAAGAAAATGTGTTTTATGCAACCTTCTCTCAGCTTTGATTAAATCTGGCAGTGAGCAGAAAACTGTGGATTTTATGAAGTTGTGAGGCCTTTATGACTAAATCGATAGCATAGCAGGAGAAACTACTGTGGTTTTTATTACCCTTTTAGGGGGTCTCAGTGTTTAAAAGCGCATTAATGGAAAAGTAATGTGTGATTATAAGCCAATTAAAATAATTGTTAAGCCTCTGAGAAATAGGCCGAATTCAGCTGGCCTGTATTAAACTATACGTAGTACTTAAAATAGCACATAATGAACTGAGCCTGTTATTTAATTAGCATTCTTGTTTTGGAGAAGACTAAATGCTCGCCTTAGATTTTACACATTTAATACATTTAAAGCCAATTAAGATAACCCAATTTGAGATCATTGAACAATTGTACTACTTATAGAGGAGATAAATCTAATAAATATATAAATAAGCCTCAAAATTAGCAAATTGAAAAAAAAAAAAAAAAAAAAACTATATATATGAAGAGTTAAATCTTTAAAATAAGCAAACCAACCAAAGCTTGTATCAGGTTTATGTATCTTCTGAAAGATGACATGAGTTTAAATTTAACGGTTATAATTTACTTATTGACTTTTGTCAATAAGTAAATTGCAGATGAATGTAGCAATATGTTAGCTTTGCAAAGAAATAGAAAGAATCTAAGCACATCTCTTCGGTCAGAGGATGAAAGGTGTTGCTCTCCTCAACTCCCTCTCTGCTGTGCTGCAGCTGTGTCATTTGATTCCACCTACTGGAGGCATAAATTCATAACACTAATTTGAGGCTTCATTCTTTGGACAGCTCTTGCAAAAAAAAAAAGAAAAAGTATTTTTCCTGGTTAATGGAACATGTGCCTTACTCTATCGATGTACAGCCATGTTGGGGACATCCAAGTTTAACTAGAAGAAACAATCGCAACAGAAAAACTGGGAGCTGCAACACCCAATACAGTCTTACTTTCAATGTAAACATGAATGTATAAGATAGATGTGTTTATTTTTAAAACTTATGTTAGAGAAACCTTAGAATTATTAAGGTTCAAAACACTTTTATACACCATAAATAATACCTTAAATGAGTGTTAGGAGTGAAGTTTTGTCAGAAGTCCTGATGAGGACCTCTGAAAAATTCCTTAAATCAGGATAATCATTCTAAATTCATAGCAAAGCTTCAACAATATGTTTAACGCAAAAAAATAAAATAAAAATTATATATATATATATATATATATATAATTTTTTTTATTATTTTTTTTTATTTTTATTATGTGTGTGTGTGAACTAAAGTCCTGTATGTGCTTCCTTTGTACTTTAATCTATAATATGCAAAATAAGACATGGTTGAACATTAATTTCTTTTTAGAAGGACAAACAATCCAGAAGGTGCAAAAATGGCAAACATTGCACTAATACACTGAAACACACCAATGGTGAAACAGAGACTGAAAATATACTCAAGAAAGGAGCACCAAGACTGGTGCAATCAACTTTTAATGACCAGCTTCATTAACTAAATGGTTGTAAATTACCACTCTGAAAAAAGGTCAGCAGGCTAATGGTAACAGACTGCAGGGCCACCTGAGGTAAAGCATGGGGCATCTGGGGTCGCAGGGTCAAAGGTACACAAAAAAAATATACGAAAAGAGAGAACATAACTGGCTGTTATAGGGCTGAGAAAATTAATCAGATTAATCGATTACTGAAACATTCGTCAACTAATTTAGTCATCGATTAATGCAGTACAGAGACTCATTTGTAGATATATTTGTAATAAAAAATATAGATATATATTAATATAGATAGCATTTAAGATAAAAATAAACTTTTGATTGATTGATTGACTTTATTGATCTCACAGCGGAGAAATTTACTCGTTACATCAGCGCAAATAGTCAAAGGCCAAAGAAAGAAAAAGGTGTATGGGTTACATACAGTATAAACAGTGCGTCCACATTTTTTCGTTTTTGATAGTAGGATTATTATAGGAGGTTATT